GATAAGCCCTCCCCTTGGGGGCGGGCTGCCCTCGGGCGTATGTTTACTGATATATTGGGCGGGCAGAGGCTGCGCGCCCCTTCCCTTCCTCTCCTGTCTCCGCCGGCTACTCCGCTGGAACCTTGGTTTCGTGAGTCTGGTTTTGTTATTAAACTTGTTCAAATACCTATTATCTTTGGTGATTATTAATCCGACCACTGCATCTAAGGAACAATAATAAAATACAACAGACAAATGAAAAACAAATGAGAATAATATAAAACCACCAAACTAGAAAAGGAACCAAACGAAAACCACATATAGATGCAGAGACCCATGTGTTTGCACACTCAGGAATCCCATTAAAAAAAAACTGGAAACCATAATATATAGGGTAAGGACCTAAAGCAGAATACTTTTATACACAAGCCTGCTTTGATATGAGGAGATAGCATCTCTTTTTAGTGAACCAAATCATTATGTTACCTTCCTCAGTCTGCTTTAGTTAAATATAGCAAGTGCTTACTGGGAATCTTTTGTGCACAGAATTATAAGGGCTGTGGATTTTTAAGCTGCTAATGGCCCAATAAACGCCTTAGGGATCTCAGCATTTTAACAATGAGTGGGAATAAAAGTTTCTGCTTTCTGCATAATATCCAGTTGTGTCTTTTAAAAGTCTGTATTTTATTTTTATCTGTGAGGATGTGTGTGTATGTGTGTGTATGTGTGGGTGTGCACACACCAGTGGAGGTGCCATTGGAAGCCAAACGTTTCCGATCCTCCAAAGCTAGAGTTACAGGTAGTTGTGAGCTATCTGATGTGGTTGCTGTGAACTGAATTTGGGTCCTCTGCAAGAGCAGAAGGTGGTCTTGATGGCTGAGCCACAGTTCCAGTCCCCCTTGTCCCCTTAGTCTGTATCATCCTACATGTTGCAGATACACAGTCATCACATTTTAAGCCCAGTTTTCTCTCCTCCCTATGTCTTAGAGAATCACTGCTCTAGATGTTGTTATAACTGGGATTCTGGGTGTTTTCCCCTTTTATTGTTATGGGATTTCTGATTTACTTCCCTTAAGTATCACTCTCCTCGCTTGGCTCTTCTCTGACAGAAGTCTTAAAAAAGAAACCTGGTATTTATATAACACCACATTTTCTTGGTCAGCCACTATTCATATCATAATACTTGTATCTACACAATTTCCACCATCTCTTTCATTTACAAAAACAGGGACCTATGACTCAGTCAAGCTTAAAATTTAATTAATGAACAAACTTGTAAGTTGTCTTAGTTTGATTTCTACCGGTATGGTTAAGCATTATGACCAAAAGCCACTCGGGGATACGTTCATTTCATCTTAAAATTCACAGTTCATCATGAAGGAAAGTCAGGACTGGAACTCGAGGCTGGAACCTAGATGCTAGTCATGGAAGAACACTACTTACATACAGACTTGCTCCTCATGGCTTGCTCGATTTGCTTCTCTCTACAAACTAGAACCACCTGCCCAAGGATAGCACTGCCCAAAGTGGGCTGGGCTCTCACGCTCAATCATTAAGCCTGAAAATGCTCCCACACACTTGCTTACAGGGTAAACTGATGGAGGCACTGTCTCAATTAACCTCTTCCCGTTATCCCACCCTTTAAAGTCCATTCTCGCAAATAGTCTCCAGACTTCTGCTTGAATGAATTAGCAAACTCATGAAGTTCTTTAGTGGCATAGCATACCTCTTCACAGACCACACTTTTGTTCTCATCTCTGGGGTCTGCTTAATCTAGCCCTCAAGTTACAGGTCTAGAGGCAATGACAGGTGGCTCCTGGGGGAAATCAGCACTGTTCTGACATCTCCTTTAGATAAAGTCATCACCTGCTCTGCAAAAGAAGCAGGATCAGTTTCCTCAGAGAGGACAACAACGAAGGGGGTGCGATTAGAGTGGGGATGTAGCCTCTGCTAAGGGTTGGAAGGATTCCTCAGGCAGAGTGAGCCCAGCAGAATCTGAGGAGTCAAAATCCTCCACCTCCTTAGGGTCCTCTCCCACACTACCATCCCAAGTCACAGGGTCCCATTCTCTTCCAGTCAATGCCTCACTTTAACTGTTAACACACTTTGAGTCTAGGAAATAATTTTCACATTGTAAGTCAGCTAATCCTATAACAGGGCTGTGTTTGCACTGAAACTCAAGCTCTGAGGCTACAAGATTCTCTATCAGGGCACATTAGGAACCTTGAGATTGTTTGGGTGCATCTGGATCTGGTCAATTTTATCACAGCTTCTTTTCTTTTTGTTTCTTTCCTCTTTTCTAATTTTGTCCAAAGACGCTAAATGGAATCAGCCAGAAGCATCATTTTCCTTATTTTTCCACAAGCTAAAAGATTTTTATACAGTCATTAAATTCTTTATAGCTCACAGGAGGTGGTGGATTGAGAGCATCAAACGCATGTGTCTAAGTTCTTGGACCGGTTCACACCATGGACTATTATGTGTTCTCCATGCTCCCGGAAGAGTCTTTAATAAGCTTAACATTTCATCCAGCGGGAGAGCTACCTCCAGTTACCACCCTGACCACTAGAGAAACTCATGCCCACATTTCTGTTCCTCCAGAACCACTCCTGGTACCAGTTTGTTTTAGTCAAGGTTGTCTAGAGGGACAGAACCAATGGTATGAGAGTGTGTGTGTATGTGTGTGTGTGTGTCTGTGAACTTAAGTCAGCTTACATTAAAAAAGGAAAATCAGCTGAATGACACCTGAGAGGCTGAGAACGCAGTAGTTTCTCTATCCTCAGGTGCCTCAGTAGCCCACAGTGACTCCCTCACTGGGGAAGCTGGCAATTCAGTTGATGCTCAGTCCCCAAGGCTGGGTGCCTCAGCAGTCCCCATCTGGTGCCAAACCCTGAAAGACTCTTGGAGAGCTGCTGGTCCTTAGTTCCTGGTGGGAAACTGGTTCTCCACGTTGTTGTTCCAGCAACAGGGCACCATGAAGAAAAGCCAAGACATCAAGACATGCTCTATCTCCCTTTTCTGCCATGACCTTAAAATCTAGACAGCTACAAAAGGTAGTACCCACATTCAGAATGGGTCTTCCAAATCCCTTAAGGCAATCAGGACAATTTCCCTATTTCAGAGATTGTAACTTATGGCAAGTTGCCACTAAAATCGACCATAATATAAAAAAGCTCAAAATTCAGCAGATCTTACTCAGAATCCAGCAATTTTTTTTTTCAGTGATAACAGAGGTTCTCAGACAGGATGCAATTTCCTCCCCAGGCAACCTTTGGTAATATCTAGCGAGATTTTTGATTGTCAGGAGTTTGGTTTGTTTGTTTTTTAGTGGGTAGAGTCCAGGACACAAAGTCCAGGAACTATCTAACAACAAAGACTTACACATCCTGCCCAAGAATTCAAGAACGGGTTGCTGAGAAACCCAGCGCGGCTGGATTCTTTCTGCACGCCCTCCACCCCATTCTGATCTTATTTCCAAGGATTCACAATGAACTACTGCAAAAATAAACAACTTGTAGAGAGCCGCGAACAGATTGACCTTTTTCTCACAGCCCTCTTCCATTCAAAACGAAACGGGATTTGTAGCTTTGCGATAAAGAGAGAGTGAGGACAGCAGGTAAGGGACACAGAATGCAGAAAGGAAAGTCAAAGTAACGTTTACGAACTAAGATAGGGATTGCTGGAGATGACTCCCTGGTCAAGTGCGCCTGTTCCGAAAGTTTGAGGTCCTGATTCGAATCCCAGCCACCTATGTAAAAAGTGGGATGGTGACAGACACAGATGTGACGCTCCTCCCTGACAGCAATTCACTCTGGGTGACTGGCAGAGCAACGGATTGGCACCAGCGCCCCTTTTCCGACCCGCTGCCTTCCGGCTGAAACCTGGAAAGCCTCGGGGAGCGGGCGGGGCGGGGCTTGGGAGCACGCGTCCCCTTGGTGTGACGTCATAATCGGCCGCCTCAGAGCTGGCCCTTAGCAACCGACTTGGCGACGATCTCTTTGGCTGCTCCGGGCCCCCGCAGGCTAGTCTTTCCAACTCTCTAGTGCGGGGGCCAGACCGGGTTAAGAACCGAGGGGACGCAGAGCATCCCCCGCGAAGGCTGCAGGAGTACTAAGCATGGATGGCAGCCGGAGAGGTAAGGGGCTGCGCGGGTTCAGGCCGCACCCTGGCCTTTCCGGTGGCCTGCCAGCTCCTTCTCCAGTGTCGCGGGGTGATGACTGGAGCTGGACAGGCCGAGGGTCCTGGGTGAGGCCCCGCTTGACCGTCTCATTGATCTGCTTTATGGCCTTGCCTTGCATCCATCCCTTGATCTCGGGGTCCTGCAACCTGTGTCACCTCGGTATCATCTAGGCAGAAGACCAACCATGGCCTTTAAAGTCCGACCTGAGCCCCAGATGAGGCCGGCCTCTTTCCCAGAAACGACCCCCCCGTTTCCTCATCTCGAACGTAGGGGGAAAAATACCCACGCCACGGAGCTCCTGGGGATTACGTGCAGATAATATGTGGCAAGCTCCTGGCTCATTCTAAGTACTTAGAGGTGCATGAAGTCTCCCAGTCTCTTCCCCAAGAACTGACTCACCCAGAACTGGTTATATAGTTCGATCCTCCAAGGTGGTGAGCTGGGATACCTCATTTGTAATAATCTTACAGCGTGGCTGGTTGGTGGACTGAATGTTTACTAGCCCAAGACTACCCATAATCTCAGTGTACACCTATTTACCTTGACTTACTCTGAGACAAGTGGAGTATATGAAGTAGTTGGTGACCCCTATCCACAAATCATCACAATTCATCCCAATCAAAGTTGGAGCTCCACAGTCTAAGCAAATATTCTTTCATAGGACTTAAGAATCGATCTGCTGATGGTATCTTGAATTAAGTCTCGCTTTCAACTTTATTTTAAAATAATGGGTCAAACTAAGTCTAGTGTAGAAAGTCGGTTGACAGGATATTCAGACGCCACACTAACCTAAGTTCTAGAAGAAGCAAACCAAAATGCTCTAATGGTCATCAGAAATGGTTACAAAACAAACCAAACCTTTGCTATGTTCTACGCATAACCAAACCAAACACCTGTCTAATATACGCACACAAATCTTGTTAAATAGGTGTTATTCATGGTTTGAAATAGAAGAAAAGATTGTAAATAATCTCTCAGTGTCACAGTAGGTGACAGAGCAAGCTTTGAACCCAGACCAAGAATGTAAAACCCCTGAGTTAATTCTTTTACTTGTGCAGTATAGGTGGGGGCATTTGTACATTAATAAGCTTAGTAAGTTTGGGGTATTTATTTTTAAGTGGTTAATGTAAAAGGGTTTATACTTTATACCTTACCCAAGTGGCTTCACTCTTAGCCCATAATATATAGTAATATCATTGTTTCTAGCTTTGAACTTGTAAAATAAATGTTATATTCTTTTTATTTCTTTTTTTTATTAAATCCTTCTCATTTTAATTGTTTGGATAGGAATGTGGTATACATTTTTTCCCACTCCCCTCCACCTTCCACCCTTCCCCCTGCCTTCCACATTGCCACTTTACTCTGGAGATCTTGTCTTCTTTCCTCTTCCTAGGTGGATCCATGTATGTCTCTCTTAGGGTCCTCTTTGTTACCTAGGTTCTTTGGGGTTATGTCCTGTACACTGTTTGTCTTTTGTTTTATGTCTGTTATCTACTTATGACTGAGTACATATATTTGTCTTTTAGGGTTTGGGTTACCTCATTATAAATGTTATATTCAAATACCTGGGCTAGTTTTCATATACTATAAATAAGTAACTATAATTGTTATTAATCACATATTTTTAAGTAAGCATTAATTTAGCTGAAGCTTAAATGCTTAATTTTAATTAAAAGTAAATGTCTTAAATTTCGTTAGTTCCTTTAGGCATTTCAGAACATAAAATACTAAAGATACCTGAGGGAAAGTTTCTCAGTTGCTTTCAGTAATCACTTTTTTTTTTTTGTAGGTTCAACCTTCAGAATGGTGATGTAGCAAAAAGTCACCAGCTTGAAAAACAATAGGTCTTGTTTCTCGTCTTTGATATCGGCTAATGATATCTTCTTCTGCCAGTTACTTTACTTTCCCGAGCCTTAGTTGTTTGTAAAATGGGGAACTCGACTTGATGTACTGTAAGGCTTTGTTACCAACGTCTAATGGGAGGAAGGAGGGGAGAAAATCAAGACTTTTTTTTTTTTTTTTTTTTTTTTTTTGCTTTTTCAAGACAGGGTTTCTCTGTGGTTTTGGAGCCTGTCCTGGAACTCGCTCTGTAGACCAGGCTGGTCTCGAACTCACAGAGATCCGCCTGCCTCTGCCTCCCAAGTGCTGGGATTAAAGGCGTGTGCCACCATCGCCCGGCAAAAATTAAGAATATTGGTCCACCGTCCTTTGTATTATCAATGACCTATGCTGGAAAAACAAGAGGAGACATGTAACCTGTTAGGACAGCTAGCTGAAAAGGGACTAGGAAAGATTTCTTAATCTGTTGCTCCCATGGAGATACTTTCATAAATGACCTATTCCTAAACTTCCAGCAATTTGGGGAAAATACTGAAACATCTCCCCCCCACCCCCAGTGAGTTTTCTTCCACTTATTAGTAAAATCAAATTATATAGGAAGCCAAGCTGAAGAATTTGACTGTCCTGAAAGACCATCAATCTCATGCACCAATTTTTAGTATTAGTTCAGAGAGTGTTCTTTTTCTGGCCATTTGGTTTGAGACTACTTTTGGATCATTCTGGGTTTAATCAGGATATAGAAATTGTGTCTGGGGTAATTTAAATGAGGAGTATAAAGAATTGTTAAACAGTTACAAAAGTAGTTATAGAAATAAAAAGTTATATATACTATTATATATGTGTTTTCTATATTGAAAGCAGTAGATATAGGTACTACAGTATTACCTGTATATTTGCATTGGGCAAAACAAAAGTCATGTAAACAGAAAAATACACCCCATTCAAGGGCGCAGCTCCTGAGAGAGGGCTCAGATGAAATGAGCCATCTGTTCCTCCCTTCAGCTCTGTGAGTTTTAACATGACATTTATCTGTTAGGAATGTTAGGAACCAATGAGTACACATCTTGATGTAAATACATGAGCAAAAAATGACCCTGGTTTGATCCTTTGCACCACCACACCAGAAAAATCTGCCTGGGGGATACAGGATTTGTGTTCTGCACACTACTTACATTAACACTAAAACTCTGTTTTGTTTTGTTTTAAACATTTTTCTGTTTTGTTTTGTTTTTCAGAGAGGGTTTCTCTGTGTAACAGCTCTGGCTGTCCTGGAACTTTCTTTATAGACCAGGCTGGCCTTGAACTCACAGATCCACCTGCCTCTGTCTCCTGAGTGCTGAGATTAAAGGTGTGTGCCACCATTGCCCTGCTGTGATGAACATACAATTACATTTTGGAGAAAGAAATTATTTTATGATGAGCTCTGTAATTTTCTAATTTCATGCAGTCTCAAAGACCAGACACTATTTTTACTTTACTGGAATTCTCTTTAAATATAGCATTTAGTTGGGTACATTTGTGTGTATGTAATTCTGACTACCTGGAAGGCAGAAGCAGGATCAGGAATTCAAGACTAGCTTGGGTAGTATAGGAAGACCTAATCTCAAAGAAAAACTGGTAAATATAACTCAAAATATGTATTACCTCAAAACAAAACATTTAATGGTTTAGTAGTGAACACAATAAAATCAGTATTTATCACATGACATAACTGATATCTTACCACTTGACCTAGTAAAACTGAAGGCTCAGAGTAAACTGTTCTTAAAATAACTTAGTTTTAAAACAGTTCAGTGGTAGAGCACTTGCTCAGCTTGCAGCCCCATACAGAAAATGCTCCACATGTGTGTGTGTGTGTGTGTGTGTGTAGGTCTGAAGCTAAGGGCTGGCGTCTTTCCTCAGGGTTTCTCTACCCTTATTTCCTAAGTAGGGCCTCCCTCTGCTTTAGTTTTATTTCTGTTGCTGTGATAAAATATGGGAGCCACAGCAGGAAGCTTGAAGCACTAGTCACAGCCAGTCAAGAGCAGAGAGGAGCAAGGGCATGTGTGTTTACTGCTCAGCGCAATTTCTTAGTTCACTGCCTGGCTCCTGAAATGGGACTGACTTCATTCAGCTCGGTCCTTTGACTGCAGTTAGCACAATTAAGGAAATTCCTTTGTGGCTGGAGAGATGGCTCAGCAGTTCAGAGCACTGTTCTTGCAGAGGACTCAAGAGTGATTCTCAGCATCTCCTTACAGGCTCGAAACCCCCTTGAACTCCAGCTTGGGATCTGATGCTTCTGGCTTCCAAAGACACTAGTGTTGCAAGTGTACACATGCACACACACACACACACACACTTCTTTAAAAATAATATTCCTCACAGGCAGGCCCAGGCTAATGTTGTTGTTGGTTTTCTGAGACAGGGTTTCTCTGTAGCTTTTTTTTTTAAATATTTATTTATTATGTATACAATATTCTGTGTGTATGCCTGCAGGCCAGAAGAGGGCACCAGACCCCATTACAGATGGTTGTGAGCCGCCATGTGGTTGCTGGGAATTGAACTCAGGACCTTTGGAAGAGCAGGCAATGCTCTTAACCACTGAGCCATCTCTCCAGCCCAGGGCCAGGCTAATGTGATCTAGGCATTTCTTCTTTGAGACGTTTCACGGGTAAATCTAGATTGTGTCAAGCTGACAGTTAAAACCATCAGTTAATGAACTTTTGAATTCATTGATTCATCTAGTGTGGTTTGTCACTGCCAAGGAGCTGGCTATCTGTGCCCACACCTGGCCACTCCAAGGCTGGAGTTACAAGCACATGCTGCCATGCCTGGTTTTTTATATTTATATGGATTCCAAAGTCAAGTCTTTGGTACTTCTGTGATGGCCACAATCTCCCCAGCCCTGTTTTATTTTCCCAAAAATGGAAAGGTTGAATCTCTGGTCATAGGATTTTTGCTTTTGATATATTACTGCTGGTAGTAACATGGCTTGTGGTTTGGTTTTATTTTGTTTTGAGACATGGTCTTATTATATAGCCCTGGCTGGATCTGAACCCTGTGTAGACCCAGCTGTCCTGAAACTCACAGAGGTCTGCCTGTCTCTGCCTCCCAACTGCTGGGTTTAAAGGTGTGCACCACCATGCCTAGCCGAATAAAAGTTTTCACAACTTTGTTTAAAAATGAAATTGTTATTTTTAAAATATTCTATATTGTTCTTTGTGAACATTGTGTTTCACGTGTCCTAATTCGTGGTTTTTATTGTTGTTGAAAGTCAGAGCAACCTCTGTCCTCCCCAGATACAGTCCACCATGCCTATTTACAGGACACTTGAGCACCAAGAGCAATGGTAAGTGAGCTACTTAAAACTGGCTGCATTGAAAGACTCACCGTTTTCTGAGCTGGGAAATCACCTGACCTGATGAAACTTGTACCTCACATTAGTAATTAGAATCAAATGCTGTAGGTATTCTTTAGACACATTTAGGGGGTCCTAATTTCAAACTCTTACTGTGCCCTGCTTGAATGTGGACATAACTACCTCCTGCTTCCCGCCCTGCTACAGCCAGGGGCTGCCTTTGCCAGCACCAGGTCTGGTTTAAGCCGTGCCTGCCTTGGAAATGATGGTTATCAAGAACAAAGACAATCCTAAAGAAAAGCTGTGTAGAGAAAACTTGGATAGAGTCTCAGCTGACATTTATGGGTTGCTGAGTCTCTATGGCCTGTGATGCATTTATGTTTTAAGGTTTTCAGAGTAAAATTGTAGTGTTAACTCTAAAATAATTTTTGTTATTATCTTTGGCATAGGATTTAGGAAACCTATTGTCCTTATTTCCATGAAAAATCCTTCATACTGTCCCCTCTAAATATCAAGAAATGAAATTTTCAATTACTTCATTGTATTTCTTGTACCACTGTGTATACACAGAAACAGGTGTGAAAACTGATTTAAAAAAAAATAAAAATAAAAAGCCTTTGAAGCAATGCCTGGTGGCACAAACTTGGAATACCAGTATCTGGAAGGCTATTCTCAAAATAAAAAGTAAAAAGAGTGCTGGGAATATTGCTTAGGCTAGAGTGCTTGCATAGACCCTAGGTTAATCTTCAGGAAAACACACGTACACTCTGAAACCAGACTTAAACCTAGACAGAAGAGCAGAATGGAGAATACAGTGTGTTTGCTAACTCTAAGAATGCACTTGCAGAGCCGGTCAGCACCGCACCCTTTGTGAGGAATGTGACAGCTCTGTGCCTCAGTTTCCACTTCTATCAAATGGTGGTAATAATGGCTTCAAAGGTTTTTCCTGCCAGAGGGAGTGGAACAGTGCAGGCAAGTGCCCCTCCAGGCATGCCTCCCACAGTAACATGCTTATGGTATGCAGGTTCCCTAAAAGCATTGATTGGAAATACTGAAGGATAGATCTAGGAGGGGAATCTAAGTTTCAGTGTAGGAAAGCCCCTTGTTTTTCAAGCCCTATTCTAGTTCATGATTGAATTTTTTCAAGCATAAGCTCGTATGACTTCTCAAAATCTTTTCAGGGGCTAGAGACAGCTCGCTGGACAAATAGCCAAAGCTCGTGCTGTGCAAATTTGAGAGTTGGATCCCAAAAGTCCATATAAGTGCATGCTGGGAGTGACAGCCCGCCTGCCTGGGGAGACGGAGATGGGATGCCCAGAGCAGCTGGCTGGTAGACGAGCCTTGTCGGCCAGTCTGGCTTCAAATGAAAGATCCTACCTCCATAAATGAGATGAGAGTGATCAAGGAAGATTCCCGGCACCAACACACACACACACACACACACACACACACACACCCTTGCACACCTATGTGCACCCACACATACAACTGCAAAAAAGTGTTAATGTTTAAAAATATGTCTGCATAGGACTTTATACTTGTATTGGTGTTTGCTGCTTCTAAGAGTTCTTTTAAACAATCTGGGTGGAGGAGGAAAAGTTGAACAGCATAGATTTTCTGTGCCTGTGCTTAAAGCAGTCTGTGGATCTTGATCCCAGCTGTAAAGACAGAGATTCGCCTCTCAGAGCAGAATTTTTGTAGATAGTGTTGGGATTTGGGGTTTGTTTGATTTCCCAAGCTCAGTCATCTGTTCATAGGCAAGCAAGTGACTAAAGACTTTTAGTTATAAAATAAAAACATATTAGATAGTAACCAATTCTATTACTAGTAGATGAAAATTATCAATCTATTAATAGATCATAGTCTAGATTATTTTCATTGATTATATTCTAGAATTTCTTTTCCAAATTCTCAAGCCTGTAAAGCTTAATTCTTGAGGAGGTTTGAACCCAAGTGGTGAGTTGCTAATCAGTGTTAGCAGGGCAAGACGAGGGCTGGGCACTGCAGCCTGCACGAGTGCTCTCAGCCTCCTCCTGTGAACTCCAGAACACCACCAAGGATGACTTCAGGAACTGTATTTTGTGATGTTGTATTAAAGTTTAAATATGTAATGATTAAATATGTTTTAATTTTTAGCTTTTTGCACTGACTCCTCTTCTCTCAGACTAACCACTCTCCAGCTGGTCAAGAATCACATGGCTGTTCACTATAATAAAATCCTTTCAGCCAAAGGTAAAAATGTGCAAATTTGAATTTTCTGTGCTAATTTAAACTCCAGATTCACTTCTCATTATGACAGACCTGTGGCCAAAGTCAATACATTATCTCAAAGAGGATTTGTTTCTTAAAGTGAGATGCCGACTACTGAGTGTGTCGATGACACATTTTATGTTAGTATTTATAACCACGTAATGCCTAGACAGCTCATTTAGTGTATTCTTCTAATATTATTTTGTTGTTAGATATTGATAAGTTTTCTATTTCTGTTTAAAATTTTATGAGTGTGTATTGGGGCATGTTTGGGTATGTGTGTGAACAAGCATGTATTCAGATACATATGTGTGTATATATGCATATGCATATAGAAGCCAGAGGTCCACCTTAGGTGTCATTTGTTGAGAGCCATCCACTCTATTTTAGAGAGTGTCTCTCACTGAGTCCTTGGATTTATCATGACAAGGCTAGACTAGCTAGCCAGCAAGCCCCAGAGATCTTCCGTCTCCATCTCCCCAGGACTGGGAGTACAGCAGTGTGCTGCCATGCCTACTTTTTCTGTGGATGCTGGAGTCCTCGTGTCCGGAGGTCCTTGTGCTTTCATAACTAACACATTAGTGACTGTGCTGTCTTCCTAGGCCCTCTCTCTGTTTACATTTTAAAAAAGCATGGTCTCAATATAAATCCCAGGCTGGCCTTACCTCAGTGTTGTGCTTTGGGCTCCCATGATAGCATGTATCATGCTACCATGCCCAGCTAGATACTAGTCTTTAATATAATTTTATAACCTGCTTTTCACTTGGGAAGTTATACAAAGATGATTCTGGCTGCTATTTTTCCTTCTGTCATTGATTTTATTAGGACATAACTTACGTAGACTAAAACACACTAGTTATAAGTATGCAGGGCAATCCTTTGAAAATTGTGTCTCTATAAGCACTACCATGTTCACAGTAAACTAGAGGCCATTTAACTGTGCATGTATGTCAGCCTTCCTGCCACTTGCTTTTGTTCAGTTCAAATTGATGCTTAAAAAAAAATAAAAGGATGGTATTTGTAGCATTTGACAATAGAATGATACTTGAATTTACCATTCATAACATAGTCGTGTTCATTCTTTTTATACTGGCTATGGCAGCCTTTGCACTGAAATACAAAGTCAGCTAGTTGTGACCAGCTGTGTCACTTGGCAAAGCAGAAACATTTATTCTCTGCCCTACAATAACGATGTGCTAATCCTGGTATGGGACTTTTCCACCATCTCAAAAAGTTCCCCCTCGCACCCACACACTGAGACAATGGGGATGTTCTATCGGGAACTCACCAAGGCCAGCTGGCCTGGGTCTGAAAAAGCCTGGGTTAAAACCGGTCTCGCTGAACATAGCAGACAATGAGGATTACTGAGACCTCAAGAACAATGGCAATGGGTTTTTGATCCTACTGCATCTATTGGTTTTGTGGGAACCTAGGCAGTTTGGATGCTCACCTTACTAGACCTGGATGGAGGTGGGTGGTCCTTGGACTTCCCACAGGGCAGGGAACCCTGATTGCTCTTTGGGCTGACGAGGGAGAGGGACTTGATTGGGGGAGGGGGAGGGAAAGGGGAGGCAGCGGTGGGGAAGAAACAGAAATCTTTAATTAATTAATAAAGAAATAAATAAATTAAAAAAAAAGTTCCCCCTCCTATCTCTACAATCAGTCACTTCCCCTCAGATCCCCGAAGCAAGTATCTACTCGCTTTTCCTATAGTCTTGCCTATTCTAGAATTTTATGTTAATGAATAATACGTATTTATACTTTTGGTCTGGCTTTTTTCAGTGTGCACAATGCCTTGAGGCATCTGTGTTATGTTTATCAATATTCCTTTCTTAGTTTTGGGATGGGGTTTGTGGTGTGTGTGTGTGTGTGTGTGTGTGTGTGTGTGTGTGTGTAGAGGCCAGAGGATGTCCTCAGATGTCCTTCCTTCTTTTTGAGACAGTCTTTCCCTGGCTTGAAGCCCACCCCTTAAGGTAGGCTTGCTGGCCATAAGCCCTGAGGATCTGCCTGTTTCCCCAGCACCGAGGTTCTTAGTGTGCACCACCATGCCTGACTTTAGTACATGTTTTAGGGTAGAACACAGGTCCTATGCTTTATAACAAGTAGTTTACTGACTGAGCAATCTCTCTACCCCTTAATTGTATTTATTTTTCTTTATAAATTCTATTCTAACTGGCGTTCCAAGCCTTTAATCCCAACACTCAGCAGGGAGATCTCTGAGTTCTAGACCAGCCTGGTCTATGTAGTGAGTTCTAGGATAATCAGGGCTATATAGAGAGACCCACCTCAAAATAACCAAAAAAATTTTTTTAAAGTATTCCACTTAATGAATCTGGTGTAATTGATTGATTCATTCATGACTTGGTGAATATTTGGTTTGTTTTGACTCAGTTTGAGCTTTAGGAAATGAAGTCACCGTAAGAGCTCACATACAGTTGTGAACATAGGTTCGTTTCACATTTATTTTGCTCGAATAGATCTGTATGTTTATGTGTACATTTAGCTTGTAAGCAAATCCGTTCCAGAGTGACTGCAGGTCTGTGTTGCCGTGATGCTGCATGCTCGCCAACACTCTCTGTTGCCAGTGTAGAGTAGCATCTCTTCTTTGTGAATATCTACAAGTTTAACTATAAACTTCACTTTAATTTCACTAATTTTTTTTTTGCTGACTTAACCTAATGTTTATTTACTTTTTTGTGACATGGGATCTCAACTGTGTAGCTTTATGAGCTAGAGTTTAAAATGTTTAGGTTATGTTTTAAATAATTGAGGAAAATAGCATATCATAGCATTAAAATCGTGTAAAGTTCAACTTTCAGATGTTTTAAAATTGCTGTTGCTAGCAATGTGTTTAAGAAGTCATTCTCTAATCTTAGGGTTTCTAAATTTGTTTTCTCCTAGATGTGTTCTACTTTTAGCTCTTCCATTTAAGTTTGTGGTCCATTTTGAGTTTTCATATAGTATGACAAAAAGGGTATTGGTTTTTGCTTACTCGTATATAAAATTTCTGGTATCAATTACTGAAGAGATTATCTTTTCCCTGCTGAATTGTCTTGGCATCATTTAACCAGATGCATAAATAAGTCTTGAGATTTAACTTTCGATCTCCTTATCTACTTGTCTACCTTCCTGTCCACACCAACCTGCTTTGTGTTCTCTAGCCTTGCATTGGCTTGAAGTAGGTAGTGTAATGCACCATTTTGTTCTTTTCCTTCCAGTTTGCTTTAAGATTCCATTCAAGTACATTGATGTGTATGGTAAAGACATGGCTTTAGGCCATCCATGTTCTGTTCATTCTCTTTTCGGTCTTATTTTTTTTTTTTTCTATGGTTTATCTTGTGATATTTTCATCTTCACCAGTATTTTCTTCTGCATTATCTAATGAACTGATAATCCCACATAGTATTTTTAATCTCTAGAAATACAATAAAAAAGCAAAGAACTTCAAGTCTGCAGAGATTTTTGTGATTTATACATTTGATGTTTCTCATTATTTATAAATATCAAAAACATTATTAAATTTCTTTCTCTTTCAGCTGCAGTGGACTGCTCAATTCCATTAAGTGTGAATGCCAGCATCAAATGTAAGTAACTTTTGAACATAATACCACTTTAGAAAGATGATGATTTACTGTATTTTCTAAGTGTTCACTTCAGTGACATTAAATACATGTGTGTTTAGGGAGTCAACATTATCATCTACCCACCCTCAGTCATGTGTGATCCCCTGGGAACCACGTGTCCACATGTGATGTGGGCATACAGATATTCTGAGTATATACTCAGAAGTGAAGTCCGTGGAACACCTAGTAATTCTTTTTGTGCATTGTTGGAAACTTGCATGGGGTTTTCTCTAACATCTGCACGATTTGACATTCTACCAGTCACATGCAAGGCCTTTAGTTTCTTCAGATATAACACTTGGGGTCTTGAGGTAGTTGGGTTGGTTGGTTTATTTTTGTTTGATTAGGGATTTTAAAATGCTAATGTTCACCAGGCAGTAGTGGCACATGCCTTTAATCCCAGAACTAAGGAGACAGAGGCAGGTGGATCTCTGTGAGTTCGAGGCCACCCTGGTCTACAAGAGCTAGTTCCAGGCCAGGTTCCAAAGCTACAGAGAAACCCTATCTCGAGAACCAATCCCCCCAAATGTTCATGTTCTCCTTGTTTTCAAGAATAATTTATTTAAAAATCCAATAGTAGAAGAAAAAACAGTTGCAAAAAATATAGGAAACAGCAAAATGATAAGTCTCAACCTCTAAGTATATTTTAAATGTAAATAGATTAAACTTCCCACTCCAAAGGTACACAGTGGCTGGCTCAATCTTAAAATAAATAGAAAAAGGTAATATGCTGTTTATAGGAGTCTTGGTTTAGATATAAGGACACACACTGAATGAAAAATAAGAAGAAATGATAATACATAGGAATGATAGCAGAAAGAAATCGGCAATATACCATTATGCTGACCAAAATAGACTCTGAGTCAGAAACTCTCTCTAGAGAAAAAGATAGTCATTAAAGGGTACAATAGGAAGGTCTAGATATATATGCCCAGTATTGGAGCTTCAGGAATATAAAAAGTGAATAGTGACAAAAACCTAAATCCTAAAATTGATAGCAATACAGTGATAATAGATTCCATACTCCACTTTCAGTAATGACAAGAACATCCAAACATAATCAGTAAAGAAACAGCTGATGTAGATAACACAATTAATGAAATGAATGTAATAAACACGCCAAGCTTTCCTCCCATTTGCTGCACATTTTCTCTAATAACACATGGAACATCCATGGGCTTTATCACATCGAGTCACAAATTAATTTTAACATATTTCAGAAAATAAAAATCATTCCAAGTATTTTTAACCATAATTTAATTAAAATAAAAATTAAAAACAATGTGAAAACAAATTTGGGAACTAAGTAACTTTGAGTCCTAGAGGAAATCAAATGTGCTGGTACACACCTGTCACCTGGGAAGCAACACAGGAGGGTTAGACGCTCAGGGCCAGCCTGGGCTTCACAGTAAGACAGTCTGCAAGTGAAAACAAAACAAAAGCACCAAACCTTAAAAAACAGCTTGACTCAAGTGAAAACAAAAACACAGCAGTCAATGCTAAGGTGCAAATGCCACCCTGTAGAAGAAAGGGAATCTCAAAGAACTTGCATGTAAATCTCAGGAACGTGAAACATATTTGAGGCTGTAGCTCGCTCACCGTACAGCACTTGCTTCACATGCTTGAGACCTCATGTCAGCACAGCGCAAAATAGGAAAAAGAAAACAAAGTCGAAAGGAAAAGCAGCCCTCAGTTAGTAGAGGGAAGGAAATAATAAAGATTACAGAAGAGATACAGAAAAACAAGAACACTTTAAAAAGCAGAAATTGGTTCCCTGAAAACACAAAGCTGATAGACTCTTGGGCAAACTGAAGACTGAAGATCAGAAATGAAAGAAGAGCCATTCCAATAGAGGCCTCAGAAATAAAAGGGATCCTAGACTATTGTGAGCAGTTACACACCAACAAACTGGACCACCTAGAATAAACGGATTCTGGATAAAATCCGAGAAATGCATAGCCTAGAAAAACAGAACCAAGAGTGGAAACCTGAATAGACCATAGGCAATTGAATCAGCAAGTTCTGTAGCACCTTTTAAAAAGAAACTTCTACCACGACCAAATGGTCATGCAAAGATGGTTGAACGTACCATGAATCAGTGTGTTGGACCACATTAACAAAGGAAAAGGGAAGTACCACATGATGCAGAAGAAACATTTGGAAAATTCATTCATTCATATTTTTTAAAAACTCTCTTAGAGTTTTATTGCTGTGATAAACATGACCAAAAGCAGCTTGGGGTCTCCACAACTGAGGGAAGTCAGGATAGGAACTCTAGGCAGGAACCTGGAGGTAGGAGCTAAAACAGAGTCTGTAAATGAATGCCGCTGATAGCCTTTCCAGCTTGCTTTCTTATACAACTCAAGATCACGTACATGGGTTGACACCATATACAGTAAGTTGAGCCCTACTACATTTAAAGAAAATGTCCAGTATGCTTACCCACACAGGTAAGGCACACAGATATGCACGCCCCTATGTTCTGTAGCATTATTCCTAATAGCCAAGATCCAGAGACAATCTAAATGTCCCCTGGCAGATAAGTGAATAATGCATGTGTTAGATAACTTCAAAACAGACTGGAAAGAAAAACATCCTCTTGAGAAGTCAAATAGCATTCAAAATCATTCTTGTGTGTAGTTATTTCAGTGGTGGTTTGGTTTAGATAGACCTGTGCTCACTTATTAGCACTGATGCCATTAAATTATACTTGGGAAGAAGGGAAGCTTGCTCTTATTTTCATGTAAGCTTCTTGACTAGTGAGATACATTGATGTCACTGTAAGAAGTAAACCTAGGACAGGAGTCATGTGGCTCAGAGGGTGAGACTGCTTGCTGCCCATCTTCAGCACCCATGAAAAAGCACACCGAAGTATGAAACTACCTCTCTGCTAGTGTTTGCTAATGAAGAGCAGTTCCAAGGAACTGAAGTCAGCTGCCAGACTACAGATGTTTCTAAAATGTTAGCCTGGCTTTGTTGTTTTGCTTGTTCTTGAGACAAGTTGTTGCTCTCAAGCTGGTCTTGAACTCCTGGCTCAAGTGATTTTCCTTCCTTTACTGTCTGTTTCAAATTTCTATAACTTACATATTAGTTAGAATCTCTTTATACAGAAAATCACATAGATTGTTGATATGGGAAGTCCTTCTGTCTCTGTGTTGCTTTTACTGGTTAATGAATAAATCTGTTTTGGCCAGTGGCTTAGCAGAATAGGGCAAGACGAGAGTTCCAGGCAGATAGAGGAGAGAGTAGGCAGAGTCAGGGAGAAGCCATGGAGCTGCTGCCAGAGACAGATGTGCTAAAACCTTGCTGGTAAACCATGAGCCTTGTGGTAAAGTATAAAATAATAGAAATGGGTTAATTAAGGTATGGGCTAACTAAAAAGCTGCTTAAGCTATTGGCCAAACAGTATTGCAAATAATATAGTTTATGCATGATTATTTCATGGTCTGGGCAGCCAGGAATGAACAAGTGGCCTTCTGCCAACAGATTGGCATACCAGTGTGGGACTGACTAAATTCACATATAACCTGAGAACATTTGGAAAGAATTCTAGACACACACACACAGTTTAGCCACAGTTTTTTTTTCAGCTGGTAGCATGCTGCAGCTCCCTTAAAAGAGGTATTTCTGATTCAGCGGTAGCAGAAAAAAACAAAAACAAACAAAAAAGAAAAAAAATGCTATTTGAAATGGCAGCTTCCTGGGTCGTGCTGCCTGCACAAACTCTGGTTCTTTCAGGAGACTGAGTATTTAAATGGGATTTGTGAGCACCATATTACAAACTGCTTAATGGTGAGACATAGACCTGCTGCATACTTGTAACTGGGGCAGTGTACACAGCTTGCAGAGGCAGTGAACATGTGTCCACCATGTTCAACTGGGCAGAGCCAAAAGATAAAGTAGCCTTGGTCCTAGTCATGCCACCTCTTAGCTTTTTAAGAAGTGCTTATCCAAAAATTATCAAATGGAAACAAGAAAGCATATTTAACAAATGGTGCTGGCATAACTGGATATCAACATGTAGAAGAATGAAAATAGATCCATATCTATCACCATGTAAAAAACTCAAGTCCAAATGGATCAAAGACCTCAACATGAAGCCAGCCACACTTAACCTCATAGAAGAGAAAGTGGGAAGTACACTTGAACACATTGGCACAGGAAACCACTTCCTAAATATAATTCCAGAGCACAGGCACTGAGAGAAACAATTAATATATGGGACCTCCTGAAGCTGAAAAGCTTATGTAAAGCAAAGGACACAGTCAACAAGAGAAAACGACAGCCTACAGAATGGGAAAAGATCTCTACCAACCCCACATCAGATAGAGGTCTGATCTCAAAAATATACAAAGAACTCAAGATTCATCAGGGCTGGAGAGATGGCTCAGAGGGTAAGAGCACTTGCTGCTCTTCCAGAGGTCCCGAGTTCAATTCCCAGCAACCACATGGTGGCTCACAACCATCTGTAATGTAATGAGACCTGGTGCCTTCTTTGCCAACAGTACATTGTATGCTTAATAAATAAATAAATCTTTTAAAAAAAATTGGTCATCAAAAGAACAAATAATCCAATAAAAAAATGGAGTATAGACCTAAACAGAGAATTCTCAACAGAAGAATCTAAAATGACTGAAAGACACTTAAGGCAGTGTTCAACATCCTTAGTCAGCAGAGAAATGCAAATCAAAACAACTCTGAGAGTCCATCTTACACCTGTAAGAATGGCCAAGATCAAAAATACTGATGACAACTTATGCTGGAGAGGTTGTGGGATAAAGGGAACACTCCTGCATTGCTGGTGGGAGTACAAGCTGGTACAGCCCCTTTGGGTATCAGTGTGGCGATTTCTCAGAAAATTAGGAAACTGCCTACCTCAAGACCCTGAAATACCACTTTTGGGTATATATCCAAAGGATACTCAACCATGCCACAAGGACATGTGCTCAACTATGTTCATAACAGCATTGTTTGTCATAGACAGAACCTGGAAACAACCTAAATGCCCCTCAATTGAAGAATGGATAAGGAATATGTGGTACATTTACACAGTGAAATACTGCACAGGAGAAAAAAAATGACATCTTGAAATTTGCAGGCAAATGGATAGATCTAGAAAACATCATTTTGAGTAAGGTAGCCCTGACTTAGAAAGACAATTATCATATATACTCACTCACAAGTGTTTCTTAAACATAAAACAACAACAACAACAAAAAAAAAAAACTAGCCAACAGTTCACAATCCCAGAGAACCTAGACCCTAAGAGAGACATACATGAATCTAATCTACATGGGAAGTAGAAAAAGACAAGATCTGAGTAAATTTGGAGCATGCGGAACTTGGGAGAGGCAGGGAAGGGAGCAAGGAAAAATGTAGAGCTCAATAAAAATCAATAAAAAATAAATCAAAGAAGAAGCGCTTAGCATTTTAAGAAGCCCTCCTGTATGGAAAAGGATTACAAATACACTTTAGGACAGATTCAGACATAAAAGACCTCTAAACAAGACACAGTGTGTTTAAAAAATGTATGTATGCTTGGGAGAGAAGAAAAAGAGGAAGGAGACAATAAATGTAATATAAAAGAGTACAGACAGTTATAGGTTAAAGGAGTAAAGATAATTAAATATTAAACTTGTAGAAAAAATAATAGGGTAAGAAAAATAAGCCACATAAAGATTGAATATACACAGAGAGTCTGGATTTTGTATATTATTGTGTTTTCTTTGAATATTTTGACTGTGAAGGAGCTAAGGACAGAGAGACATTTCATTGTATGGGCTGCTAAGCTAAACCAGCCTATATATTTTAAAGGTATCATGACTTCAGAATTGGGTCTAAGGGTATGTTATTGTAGAAAAGAGGTTCTACTTTTGTTTCCACAGAGGATGAGAACCTGTGGAATTCTTCCAGACTAATGTAGTTTGATGAATCAAAACAATCTGAAAGGTCTTCATGAATACTCCAAAAATTACTTCGCCCAATAAACAGCAGGAAGTAGTTTGGAGAGAACTCCAGCCAAATTCTCCAATATTGTTTATAAATGTTTATTTACATTTAAAGGGGGATATGATATAGAGGTTAATACTTTGCATTGGTATGGATCTTGGCTTATTGATATAGATGTGGGTCAATTTTATTGTATGTATGTTCTGCTCTTGATTAAGGTATTGTGTTTGTGCAGCTCATTTGGAAATGTAAAAAAAAGGTTAATAGATAGTCATCTATAATAGTCAAGCTTGTAGGTTTTCTAGATATATATATATATATATACAGATATATTTCAGTTAGATAGATATTCTTCAAACCTTTCAAAGACTACAGAATATGTCATTTAAAACGTTTTAAGAACTTAGGATTTTTCATGATTGGTGCTCCTGGCAGCACCAGTCTACTTCAAGAGGATGATGTATATCAAAGAGACTTCTTATGGAGTTTGTTAGCCATTTGGGCAAGAAACTGCTCTTGCCTGGACTGCTTGATGAACTGGACATGCAGGACCCATAGAGAAATGACTGCTGAACTTGACTAAAGGTGAAACTGTCCTTCGGGGTTCCTGCTTCATGAAAGAGACTGCTAGACATTCTGCAGGACACAGAAGAAAGTGACTGACAAACCACCAATCTAGGTGGAGCTGTCTTTGAAATTTCTTGCTTCATAGAAAAGTCTGCTAGATACTATGGGCCTGTGGGCTAAAGATGGATGCTCCAACATTACAGAAGAACTTGGGTGACTGTCCAGGCAGCAGGATGTCTCTAACAATTCTAGAGTTTTGGAAGTAGCTTACAATGCACTTCCTGTTTACTTGAGTCTTTGATAGAGGTGGAAAATAGTTATAGTTTTCCTTAGTTATGATAAAAAATAAAGTAGATATAAATATTGTAACTGTAATTCTTGCTTGATACCTGTTTTGTTATATGTTAAATTTTACTATGTTAAAGTTCAAACCTTCCTTTTTATTTAAACAGAAAAGGGGAAATGATATGGGAAGTCCTTCTGTCTATGTGTTGCTTTTATTGGTTAATGAATAAATCTGTTTCTGCCAGTGGCTTAGCAGACTAGGGCAAGGTGGGAGTTCCAGGCAGACAGAGGAGGAGGAGGCGGAGCCAGGGAGAAGCCATGGAGCCACCAGAAGAGAAAGAACCTTGCTAGTAGGCCACAAGCCTTGTGGTAAAATATAAAATAATGGAAATGGGTTAATTATAGATGTAAGAGCTAGCTAGCAATACACTTAAGAGATTGGACAAGCAGTGATTTAAATAATATAGTTTCTGTGATTATTTTGGGAGTCTGGGTGACCGGGAAATGAACAAGCGGCCTCATACAACAGATTTTAGTCACTTATAGTAGTGTAAACATGTTTAGCAATAAAGATGTGCCAGCTGTGTATGGTGCTGTTGGCCTCATCCCATGCTGGAGTGAGAATCTTCCAGGTGAGAACTTCTAGAACAGCCGCCTATGTGATGAGAGGTATCCAAAGAAAAAGGGCAGTGAAAGGGAGAAATCTTTGACTTTATTAATGTAACAAGACCAAAAAGTTAGTTTTTGTGTTTTGTTTCCAATTTCAAAGTTTTCCTTCCTTCCTTAGATGCAGATCAACAACGAAGAGAGAAACTGAAGAAAGATTTAGCACGATGTAAAAAGGAGCTTAAATTAAGTAAACCCACAATGCAGATCAGTTCTAAGATGAATTCCAAGTTCCTTTTTAACTCTCCTCAGAAGGTAAGGTGATTCTTCTGCTCTCTAAGAGCAGATGTTTCTAAGGCACTTTGGTGCTGCAGCCTGGCTGGGGACCGTTTTCAGTAGCTTTGGGTCAGCAGACTGTGAGCATCAAGCACCAAGTGACTCTACTGCATGCTTTTCAGGCCACATCTCCTCACTGCTGCCTGCCAGGGGGAAGCAGCCATGAGCAATTTTGGAAATAAATTCCTAGCTTTATTCCACACAAGCTCCACCAGCTAGAAAGGATGATGTCTCAGACTTGGCCTGCAGGCTGTAGTAGGTTTTATTTTTTTGACTCTTCTAACATTTATTTGAAAAAGTGGTCTTTTGTTCTTAGTTTGATGAGAGGTGTTTGCAGTTTTCAGAGTCTCTCCCATGAATAGATCATTTTTTTAATTAAAAACATTTTTGATATGTTTTGATCTCAATGGGCAATTTTATCCAATGTTCTTTTTGCATTTCTTGGCAATGATGATGTGATTTTCTGTTTGATCTGTTAATGTAGTGAATGACTTGTGTCCTTAATATAAACACATCCGAGCTGTGATACATTCGAGTTTCCTTCCTTCTTCCTTTCTTTTTTTTTTTTTGTTCTGTTTGTTTGTTATTTGTTTTTTTGTTCATCTTGTTTTGAGACTGGGTCTCTATGTGCAGCCCTTGTCCTGGAACTTGTTCTGTAGACCAGTCTAGCCTCAAACTTAGAGATCCACCTGCCTCTGCTTCCTGAGTGCTGTGATTAAAACATTAAGGTGTTCTATATTGCTGGATTCAGAGGTAAACGTTTGTTTAGGATTTTGACATCTGAACACTGTTGTTACTGGTGTACATTTTTCTCTCTGTCTGGTTATGCTGGCTTCAGTGAACAGAGCAGTTTCCTCTTTTTCTATATTCTAGTTTATAGAAGTTGGAAGTTATTATTTTTTATAAAAGTTTTTCATACATTTTGATCATATTCTTTTCCCCTCCCTTACCCACCCAATTTCATGTTTTTCCCCCCTCTGTCTCTCAAAAACAAAAAAGAACAAGATGAAAATCAAAGCAAACAAACAGAAAAGACAAAAGGTGCACAAAAATGAGTTTATTTTGTATTGACCAACTACTAGGCCTGGGCTTGCCCTGGAGTGTGGTTGATCCACCCAGTGCCACTCCTGAAACAGATTTTTCTTTTTCTAGCAGCTGTCAATTTCAAATACCTTTTTAGTTAAAGGTGGGACTCTGCCCTTCTCCGCGCTGGGATTTGGTCTGGTTTGAACCTGTGCAGGTCTTGTGTGTGCTGTCACAGTCTCTGTGAGTTCATGTGTGCACTGACCCTGTTGTGTCTGATCATCCCTACCTACAGATAGTACCGTCTGTCCACCTCCTTTCCCCATGTTCCCGAGCCTTGAGGGCAGGTTTCTGATAAATACAGTCCATTTAGGACCGGGCGCTCTCACTCCCTGCACATTGTCTCTCCGGGTTACTGTCTCTTGCAAGACAAGCTTCTCTGCTGAGGGATGGGTAATAGATACACTGATCTGCAAATTTCATTTTTCTGAACAGCTGTTTTTATTTCCATGGAATCCAACACTAAAATGATCACTTTTTCAAACTTTAGTACTGTTTAGTAGTGAGCCCACATGTCTTTATCAACCAGTGTGGTGTTATCCGCTCATTCCGGTGGTTGGTCTTTCATCTCTAGCCCCAGCCATTGCCTCCGGCTCACAGTATTTTGCTATGATTGTCAGATTCTATATTTTTTACCCATAACTTTAAACCACAGTCATGATATAGCCAGGCATAGTAGTGCATGCCTCTAATTCCAGGTAGTGGCACACTAGGGGATGGGTAAGATAGGCTTAGGCCACACTAGGCAACATAGTGAGACCTTTTCTCAAAAAATATACTGTTACTATGCTTAAAAATTAATAATTGTTTAATATCACCAAATACCATGCTATGATTTCATACACTGTCTTATTTTTGAGTTTATTGGAATTGAATTGGCATCTAGTTAACTTGAATTGATATTTTTTAATCCATAGTTTTCTTTCTCCCATGCCTTTTATCACTGTGTAATTTATATATGGGAAAATCTGAGTTAGTAATAAAGTTTGGCTTAAATTTTGCAGAGTTCTAAATGATGTAAAATTTCTACTGCAAACTTGTGTGGGGAACAAGGTTTCCGAAGGCCTGCAGTCTCTACTGAGTGCCAGGGTTCAAGACGGGCAAGTTATGCACTTGCAGAGTAGCCATTGAGAGTAGCCCATGCTCTCGAGGATGAGTTCCAGCCCTGCCATCCATGGTATGGTTCAAAAAATAAAAGGAAAGGAAGATGGGAGGGAGACGAAGAGACGAGAGGAGAGGGAAGGCAGGCAAGCCTACTTGGCAGGACAGCTTCCCCGTTGCTTATCAAGCACCAGATACTGTCTTTTAACTCTTGGTCTTTTCAGTACAAACGCAGACACGGTTTACCAGCAGTCAGTAAGGAGGACTCAGGTATTGGAGCCTTTCGGGAAGCTCTGGACTGTTTTCCTGATTGAGAACTATGGAGGAACTGAAAGCAGTTTTTAGTTAGACAGTGACGTCATACCCTTTAGAAGACTACACTGGCTGCAGTGACCAGCAGACCAGTTACAGGATGGCTGCAGTAATCTGGGAGAAAGATTAAGAGCTGACCCCGGGCATTATAAAGAACACCAGAAATACAGGTACAGGCGGCTTATTATTTAGAAAGGAGAATTGCTAGGTCTTGGTATCTGACTTGATGATATGAAGAGAAAGGCAGAAGTGAGAGTCCCTGGTTTGTGATAATAATAGGATAAGGAGCAGGTTTTCTTCTGGGGTAACATTGATAAGAGGCATGAGTTTACTTGTTTGGCATGTTCAATTCGCAGTGCTTAGGAACATTGAATATATTCAGGAGACAGTTGGATAGAAGCATCTCTTTCAGGAGAAAGACCTGGGAGTTGTGAGGTGGGGGCGGCAGGTAGGGTTGAGAGTGGAGTCTCCTACGCTGTTCTAAAGACCACAGGCCAGGAGATCTCTCCATCCGTGATGCACTCTCGGGTAGATTGCTTCTTTTTTTCAATGTTTATTTCATTGTATATGTATGAGTGCCTGCATATATGTTATACTTCCTGCCACATGCATGCCATGTGCCCTCACAGGCCAAAAGAAGACATCAGATTTCCCTAGAACTTGAGTTACAGATTGTTTTGAACTGCCATGTGGGCCCTAGGAGTCAAGCACAGGGCCCCTGCAAGAATAACAAGTGTTCTTAATCTCTGGGCCATCTGTTCAGCCCCTATATTTTTATGATTATTATAATTGTTTAGTAATTCTTTAATCTCTAACATTTTATATACAAAGTAATAATTTTGAGATGAGTTTGTTGAAAAATTTTAATTATATATTTTAATATACTTTATGAATCACTTATAATAAAGTAAAATAAAACAAACATTTTAATATGTCTATTCATTTTCCCCTTAGTATCTGTAATTCTATATCTTGCTTGCCTCCATGACAGTTCATTTATGCTTTTATTCCCTTTTTTATAATTCCATTTAGAAGTAATAGTAATCTTTAGTTTGCCTACATTTTTAATAATCTTTAATAATTAATACTTTAAATATAGTCAAGTTATCTTAAATTATGAGTTTGTATAGTATATTTTAATAATTGGGTTGATTTTATGGTTAACAATATTTATAATAATTATAAAATATTTTCACTGAAAAGATAGTTACAGTTAATGATGCTGACTTTGCCTCTTAGTATCGTAGCAGTTTCTGCAGACACATGAGCTCATATTCAGAACCCTGGATCCTCGCTGCCTGGGCTTTCCCACTCATTTCCTCCTCTCACCCTGGATCACGTGATGCCAGTTTTCAGGACCCTTCCAAGGGCGTCCCTTCTAGCTGCTGCAGTTTAGATCTTAGAACACCACTTCTGCCCCATCCCTGAAAAGGACTTAGTTGTTCTGTGCTTGGAAATCGGGTAGATGTTCTTGACATGAACTTTGCATAAATCCAAATCGCACAAACAGTTTATAGCAAATCACCTCACACATAGTGGCATCAGAGCAGGTGGACAGAACACCACCAGACTGCTTGTTCTAGAACTTTCCAATGGACTATTTTTCTAGTTGGGGTGGTTTACCAAAGTGTTACCCATATTCAATGCAAATATCTATTCAGGCTTTCCAATATTTAGAACTAAAGGAAAGAACTATATAATCTTGTTAAAGCAGATCAGTAGTACAGTTAATTTCATACTACAGTCTGTTGATTTCCAAGGGGAGAGTAGAATACAAGGTAGTGTTTGAGGTAGGAAAATAGACTTAAGTTTCATGCTTTCGATTAACTCAAAAGCAATTTGCCAGCACATATCAGAAAAGAGTATTTTTTTTCCTTATTTTTTTTCCAGTGTTGGACATTAAACATAGGACCTTGTGTATGCTAAGCAAATTTCTTTTTTGTCTGTTAGTTTACATTTACNGAGAGAGAGAGAGAGAGAGAGAGAGAGAGAGAGAGAGAGAGAGAGAGAGAGAGAGAGAGAGAGAAAACTGGTGGGAATTGGTTCCTTCCTTCCACCATGTGAGATCCAGGGATCACACTCAGGTTTTAGGCTTGGCAGCAATCACCTTTATCTACTTAGCCATCTCATTGACTCCCAGCTCTGTACTTCTGTCCTTAAAGGTTCTTTTTGGTTCATTTTAGTGACCATCACACTGATAAGGCTTACCAGGCAATCTAATGCTTTATGCATTTCTCTACTCTAAGCTTAGCTTATACCATCCTCTGTGTATAAATAATTCTCATGGTTATTAATTAATAGCCCTGTAAGATTTAGAAATATCTTTTCAAAGAGCTGAGCCTTTTGTACGTCAGCTGTAATATGAACCCAGTTTGGGGGCGTTTTTTTAAAGCTAGTGTACTTTTGAGTAGTAACCTAAGGACTCACAATTTAATGCAGAATACTCACTTTATTTTGTGTTTTATTTTGGGAAAGGTTGGAAAGCAATTGTGTGTCTTAATGTGTTTCCTTATTTAGATATATCTGTTTGTAAGTTAGCTGACCCGTACATTATCAAGAAAGGAATTCAAATCAATTTAAGATTCCTTGTGCTATAAACAAGATTTAAATTAGTTTTTCAGGTGAACTTTTAAAACATAGTGTATGGCATAGCAAAGAGCAGAGGCACTGAGTCAGCTTGCGTATGTGATTCTGACCCTCCTTTTCTTCTTGAAAGTAAGGGCAGGGCAGGAATGTAGTTCAGTGGTAGGACACTTGCTTAGCAGCTCAAGGCCCTGACTCCAGGCCCATCATGGGTTGGGGGAGGTAATGGTCATACTTTCTCACAGAGTTGGAGGCAGGGTGCATGTATAAGTTAATCCGAGACTCCCAGTTCCATGAATTTGGTATAAATGCTTACTGTCAAATCAATGTTCTTAGCCCTCAGGGGAACCACAATGTCAGGGTGTGTTAATAGAAGAAGTGACAAGGTACCCATCATTGTCGAAGTCATTGGTCCCTTCTTCAGATGAACTGCGTCTACATCATCCTGAACTGAATAAATTCCTCATGAATGGCACCCAGAGGCATCCCAGCACCTCCCCCCTCAGCCTGGCTTCCACAGGATCTGCACCCAGGAGCCCGTGCTGCAGCCACTGCTGCGACAGGAGGCCTAGGAGTGCCTTCCCAAGTGCGCACCGCTTCCAGCTCGCCATCTCCAAGTCCCCCAGTGGAGATCTTTTGGAGAAGCACTCAGACTTCTTCTCTAACAAGCAGCTGCCATTCACCCCACGCACTTTAAAAACAGAAGCGAAGTCCTTCCTGTCACAGTACCGCTACTACACACCTGCCAGAAGAAGGAAGGGTTTTCCAGTTGGGCGGGCGGAAGCTGAAACCCAGACTGAACTAAGCAGGTTTGTATGGCGTGCCCACAGCTGAGAGCAAGGCTAGCGAGTCAGGGGAAGTGAGCAATAAGCAGGTAGTTGTTGCTTTGTTGTACACTTTATCTGCAACCTTGAGATCATGGGAATGAATGGTACAACTGTCCAGGGCATCTTAGGAAGCAGTGCAGTAATGGCAGAAAAAGTAGCTGTTAGATTTGTTAGGCTCCTATGAATGAGTGCTGCCTAAGTTGTTGTAAGCGCAGCTCTCGAACTTCTGTGTTTCTAAATGCTGTTTCAGAGAAGTTTTAAGACACATTATCAGACAGCACTGATGTAAGTAAATATTGGTGTTAACGGTGGCAGACCAGTGAGGCCCAGGAGGGAAAATAAACACTTATCCGGTTCCCTGTGTCTCTCCTGGCACGTGTCCACACCCTGGGTAGTGACAGCTGCAGGCACGGCTTAGACAGTTGAGGGACATCTGGAAATTAGAATTTGCCTTGATTTTGATTTCTGTAATAGATGGTTCATGATATTCGGTATCTTTGCCAAGTGATTATAATTTATTCCATACTAGACTTTAGTTATTCAAACATTGCAAGACTAGTTTTATGAGTGGAGAAGAGGGGCAATGATGGCGAATGGATTTAATTTACAAAAGGAATTGGACCTGTAACAGAAATCATCAACCAGAGGAGAGATGAAGAAGTCATTGCTGGATTTGACAACCCAGAATCTAAATTGAAATGAGACTGAGGCGGCATGGCTTCTGTGAGGGGTGGCACACAAACTGGGTGCTGTCCATGTCTTCATGAGTACGGGAAAGGGACGCCTAGGGAGCAGGGGGTAGGGCAGGGTGGTGGGAGAGTAAAGAGAATGAGCTATGGATTTGTCTGAGATTGTTGAGAACAGTTTAATCAGTAAAGAAGGAAAGAAATGAAGAGATTGTTTCATATCTTTTTAAATGTTAAAAGGATAGTCTCATTTCTCTTAGCCCATTGTATATTTAACTGAAATCAAGGAAGTACATGTGAATCAAATCATGTCTATTTCCAGATCTGTATTTAAAAATTACACATTTTTGTAAGAGTAAATAGGTGAATTTCTTTGAGTTATACCATACCTTTTTCCCCCCCTTTTTTTTTTTTGTTTGTTTTTTGTTTTTTAGATAGGGTTTCTTTGTAGCTTTGGAGCCTGTCCTGGAACTCACTCTAGTAGACCAAGCTGGCTTCAAACTCACAAAGATCCGCCTGCCTCTGCCTCCTGAGTTCTGGGATTAAAGGTGTGTACCACCACCATCCGAATCTATACCTTTTTCTTAATAGTAAAGCTTGTCACTGTGTATATAAAGGAGTAACAATCATTTCTTTGTAAATGTTACAGCTTTAATTCTGAGTTTGGGACAGCTGAGACAAAGAACTCCGAGGACTCAGAAGTGAACATAAAGCAGGTAGTAACCATGAGTCTTTGTGTTGGTGCCTTCTGAGTTTCAGATGATTTGACTTATGTAGAATGTAGGCAGCTGTTTGGACGATCAAGAGGGAAATAGAATGTAGTCAGCGTGCGCAGGTTTGCCTGTTTGCAGTTGTCGCGTGTGCTCTCTGCATGGTCAGATGGATCCTACCGATTCTAGGGAGTCATTTGTTATTAGCGCCTACGTGGTTCTCTGGCTGGCTAAACAGGTGGGTAAGTAAAAATATTAATGACATTTTCAAAAGTATAGATTCTGAGAGCCAGGTATGGTGGCATTTGCCTATAATTTTCCAACACCTTGGTAAAGGCAGGAGGATTATGAATAGGGGGCCATCTTGAACTATACAGCCGATTCAAGTGTGGCCTAAGCTGTCTAGCAAGACTGTGTCTCAAAACAACGAAGGACTGAACTATAGCTTGGCGTTAGAGAAATTGCTTAGCATTTGCAAGGCTGTGTTCAGGACCACAGCACCCACCCCGCAGCGGCACACACAGAAAAGTAGACAAGGTGCTAAAGGTGCTGCCAAGGCTACCTATGTAGCAGTCTGCATTGGCAATGCCTATATTACAAATCATACAGCATAAGGAATCCGTAGATACCATTCTCTTACATTTGACTTTACTTTTATGAACTTTATTACATGGTTTGTATCTTAAATGTTTAGCAGTGATTTAATATATCTTAGCTTTAAATATGATTTCTCAGGCAAAGTAATTTAATTTGAGTCTTTTCAACCATGGATTATATCCTAATTTAAATGCATTAATTCTAAATATGGTTTGCATGTTTAAATGTCAAACTCAGACTCAGGGATACAAAATTAAACACGTTCAACTTCTTTTTTCTTTCTGAAAATGGGTAGGAACTTACGTTTTTACATCTTAGCCATTGATAGTGTTTTGACAGGGGGACCGCTTAGAGTTCATGGAGAAAACAGCCTCTGAAAGCTAGGTGTCCTCCTAAAAGACTAACTGCAGGGTCCTTGGGAGAAGGCACAGCAGGCATAGTTCTAGCCTGGGAAGGGCTTGATAAACGATGCTTATTTTCACCTTGAATTTTAGTGAAAAGAGTTAGGCCTGTAGATAACTAAGTAGGCTAACGCAGGGCAGGTGAGATTGCTCCCCAGGTAAAAGTGCTTAGCACAGAAGAGTGACGCCCCGAGTTCCCTGGAGTCCACTGCGGAAAGAGAAAACTGACTCCCAAACGTTGTCTTCTGACCTCTACGTGTGTACCATGGTGTGCTCATGCCTGCACTCACACAAACATCATACATCATTCTCATCTTCAGCATTACTTATGGTGACGAGTGAAATTGGAAGAATCCCAGTTGATTACATTGCATTCCGAATGTTCATTCATAACCCTTCAAGAAAAATGGATGCTCACAGAAGTCTTGGACTTGAGAAAGCTAGTGAAATAGTAACTGCAGTAGATGTATAGTTTAACCCCACTTTTAAAACTGTGAAGCCTTTTGCATGAATCAGCTTTGTAGTACTGGGAATATAACTTACTCGATAGAGTACTTGCCTAGCATAAACAAAGCATGAATTGGTGTAGCAGTGCCTCCTTTTTTTTTAAAGTATTTATTTATTTTATATGCGTTGGTGTTTTGCCTGCATGTATGTCTGAGGGTGTCAGATCTTGGAGTTACAGACAGTTGTGAGCTGCCATGTGGGTGCTGGGAATTGAACCTGGGTCCGTTAGAAGAGCAGCCTGTGTGGTATTCTTAACCGCTGAGCCACCTCTCCAGCCCCAACAGCAGTACCTCTTGTTCCTTTCTTTCTTCATTTCTATTTTTGTTGTTGTTTGTTTGGGTTCTGTTTGTTTTGTTTTAAGACAAGGTGTGTCTAAGTAGCCCTGGATATCCAGGAGCTCACTATGTAGACCAGGCTGGCCCACATTTGCATTTGTGTGGTCACCTACATCTATGTGTACCATGTGCATGGCTGGTGCCCAAGGAGGTCAGGAGAGGGTGCTGGATCTGCTGGACTGGAGTTAAGGAAGTTACAAGTAGCCAGGTAGGCTGATGTGGGAGTGTCATATATCAATCTGTTGATTTCATTGGTTAATTAAATAAAGAAACTGCTTGCCCTGATAGGTTAAAACATAGGTGGGAATAGTAAACAGGAGGAAGAGGAAGTGAGGTAAGACTCCTCAGACAGACTCGGCAGCTCTGCTCTCTGGAGCAGAGGCCCTGCTTCACTCTCCTGGGCACATGCAATGAAGCTCAGACCCAGGATGGACGTAGGCTAGAATCTTCCCGGTAAGCGCACCTTGGGGTGCTTACACACATTATTAGAAATGGGCTAAATTAATATGTGAGAATTAGCCTAGAAGAGGCTAGATAGAAATGGGCCAAGCAGTCTTTAAATGAATACAGTTTGTGTGTTGTTATTTCGGGCATAAGCTAGCCAGGCGGCTGGGGTGCTGGGGACGCAGCTCCGCCGCTCCTATTTCAACAGTAGGCACTGGGAACCAAACCTTGGTCCTCTTAACCGTGGAGCCATCTCACTAGCCCCAGCAGTACATGATTGCAATTCCAGTACTTAGATGTTAGAGGCAGGATGATCAGAAGTTCAAAGTCATCATCAGGCACAAAGGAATTTCAAGGCCAGCCTGAGCTACAGGAGACCTGTTTGAAAGCAAAACATAACTTTGTAAAGATTAATGCAAATAAAATATTATTTGTGACACGTCAGAAGAAATCTATTTAAGTAATGTGCCATCGTTTTGTTTGTTAATATTGCCCAGATGCCACTGCTACTACAGCTGCTTTCACGTGTGACATAGCGGTGTTTGAATCAGATGTGCTTTTGAATTTTTAATAATGTAGTCAATGGATTTTTCCCCCAAATTTACTTAAAAGCTGCAAATTTGTATACTTTCATGGGTTTCTGGTCTTACTTTTGTTAGTTTTTGTTTTTTAATGTGGGTATGTACACGTTATGTGTAGGGGTGATGTCTCCCATCCAGTTACTAACCAGACCAGCTCTGCTTCACTTCCAGGATCAGACAAGACGGGGGCACTTTCAGGGTGGTGTGGCTAACCAGGCATGGTGGCACACACCTTTAATCCCAGCACTTGGAAGGCAGAAACAGGTGATCTCTGTGAGTTTGAGGACAGTCTGGCCTATATTATCAAGTTCCAGGATAGTCAGAGCTGAATAGTGAGACTTTGTCTCAAATAAAATAAAATAAAAATGTAAAAGGTGTATGGCTGTGGACTGCTCATGGTGATGAGCCTCTCTCCCAGGTCCCCAGGTGACCTGTGAACTGTGACCTCATGCCTCATCATTTCAGTACTAGGGTCACAGGTGCAGACTCCTCCACAGTCTTATTTATGATTTCCTAATGCCATTTAAAATGCTTCTTATTAACATGGGTAAAATGCTGATTGGGTAGGCTATTCTTTTTTTTTTATTAAAAATTTCTGCCTCCTCCCCGCCTCCCTTTTCCCTCCCCCTTCCCCCATCCCCCACTCCCCTCCCCCTCCCTCTCCAATCCTAAGAGCAGTCAGGGTTCCCTGCCCTGTGGGAAGTCCAAGGTCCTCCCCTTCCATCCAGGTCTAGGAAGGTGAGCATCCAAACAGGCTAGGCTCCCACAGATAGGCTATTCTTTTTTGTTAGTTTGTTTTAATATATCAGGTACTTTTTGTATTTATTTTTATTAATATTTGCTCTTTTCTTTCAGAACATAGTTTTGAAACAAAATTAAATTTCTTCTTTTTGTACCACTTCCAGGCAAATGGTGCTGAGGACAAAAACCGTCCTTTACCTTCACAAGGACAAAACTTAGGATGGGACAGGATTAAAGATGGCACTCTGCAGCATTCCTCCCAAAAGTGAGTGGGACCTTATATATTTGGGGGGCTTGAGACCAACCTAGGTCTCAGAGTGAAACCCTGCTTCCATTTGCTTTCCTGTGTAATAGACGCACAGCATTTCCCCTAAGTGCTGCCTTAATTCCATGTGCTAACGTATTTTAGTATTACACAGTTCTGTGGCACTGTTAGTAAAGGTGAGAGTCAGTTGTGCTAATGTGTTAATAAGGGGAAGGGATGCTAGTGTGCAGTAGTTGCTGTCTCTCCTCACATTAGAGAAGATTGTCCTCAAGGCCCGTCCTCTGGCAATGGTGTTAGCCACTTTCTATGACACCAACAGTGCTGAAGAACTGACCTCACCATTAGATGAGCTGTGCGACTTGGAGGCGACAGGCTGCTCCCAAGTGAAAGTGCTCGCCATGCAAGCCTGATAAACAGTTTGCTCCTCAGCACCCATGAGAGGAGGAGAGAAGTAACTCCTGAAAGTTGTACACACACTCACACACTCGCACGCACACACACACACACACACACACACAATAATTGTGTTAATAAAAGTTTCAAAAGCCTTGGGGGCTGGAGAGATGGCTCAAAGGTTAAGAGCACTGATTGTTCTTCCAGAGGTCCTGAGTTCCCAGCAACTACATGGTGGCTCACAACCATCTGTAATGAAATCTGACCTCCTGGCATACATGCAGACAGAAAACTATAAACAAAATAAATAAATAAAAATCTTAAAAAAAAATTCAAGAGCTAAAAATTTGTGATGTGTAACATTCCCACATGCCAGTGTTTGTCTGCTCTGATGTTGGGAGATGCTCTTTAACACTGTGGTCCATGCCTAGTGACTGTGACATCACACCTAGCAAAAATGTGGACCAGCAAGCTTTGGCTATTAATTGCATTTCCAGTGTAGGAGACTGGATATGAGATGAGGGGAGAAGAGTATTCACAAGGGAGAATGAGGACATGTGTTGGAGCAGACAGGAAGAAAATACACAGACCCTTGAGGGCGCATCTTCTCCCTTAGCCCTTTACCAGGGACATCTTGATTTCTAAGACTATAGTAGGTTGAGTACCAACTCTGTCCTTGAAACTCATTGAACACACAGCACATGTTAGCACATGTGCACACACACATGCATGCACACTCCCACAGAACTAAATCACAGATAGGAAAATACTTAGAAATTTCAAAGCATATAGCTACTAATGTAGACAGAATATCAATCATGGAATCTTTGTATGCCTACCCTTATGGCTGCTGTTAGAACATTTTCCCTCTCTCTTTTTCTAGGACGCTCTGTGAGCTCTCTACACAGCTTTCTTCAGACAGCAAAATCTACCCTGAGTAAGATCACTCTGACCTCTTTCTACTTGAGTGGAAAGCAGAATTAAGATCAGGAAAGCCTGATAAGATAAATTAAGATGGGAACTCGTCCTTCTACACCCAGCTCTGCAGTATCAGTCATTTAATCCATGCTGATGGACAGATTGTCGGGCCTTATCTTTAGTGAAAATGTGTCCCTAAGTTAATAATATCTACTAATAATTTCTAATAATTGCTTATTTTTATAAATTAAACTAGTAAAGAACCTACAGGAAAGGGTTTGGAGCTCAGGGGCCTCGTGGGAGGTTTGTGGCTGCTCCGCTTCTTTGCAGACTGTGTCGTCTTTGCTTTCAGTGGTCACGATACATTCTTAAGTTATAGTTTTCAGGAAAATGGTCTGCTTTATAGTTTAATTTATTTGTTCTTAAGCAAGTTCCTATGGATTGGTTTTTAACACGCTGGTTTACACAACCACCCGTCCGCAGTTAGTCTCCAATTGAGTAAGTACTTGCCATTTCCATTCATTCCCGAGTCTGAGCTAACTGGAATCAATGACGGTAGTATCCTGACTTTCTTGTAATAGGTACTAAAAGTTAGACATGAAGTAGTATATCGTAAGAAATGTGTCCAATTAAAAAATTACTACTACATTTTTTCATCCATAAATTTGCCTATTAGAAATTCTTTTTTATAAGGATTTTGAAGAAAAAAAAAAGCAATCTTTCTAGTCAGCAGATTTCCCAGCTTGAACACAAGATGCAGAGCAGGGCCCAATAAGCATCACGCCCTGCTTCCCTGAGTGGCCCTCTTTGTCTTTTCGCTGTTATGAATGTTCCACAAAGATGAAATTTTACTCCATTGGGTGATAATTTTCTCACTTCTATGTTTTCCTTTTTGAACATGAGAAAGCAGGTTTGTTTATAGTATTCCTGTACTCGTGGGCAGCAGTCCCTGTAGTGGTGATGTGGGTGCTCCTGCGTGACCTCCCCTCCATGTGATGGTTCTGATGCGCTTGTGTTCCTCTGCAGTGAAGAGGAGCTGCTCTACCTGGACTTCATGGAAAATGTGACAGATGAAATTTTGAAACTTGGTTTATTTTCCAACAGGTTAGAGATTTTTTTTAATGTGTGTGGGAGTTGAGATGTACATTGAATATTTTTCATACAGTAAGATTTTTTAAGTTATTAGGATATAAAAAGTTATGTTGCTTCTTATAATTATATTTTTATAATTGATTGTAAATTATAAAGACTTTTATCTGTACACTACAAAAACCAATAGATTTTTTCATTTAAGTATTATTATATCTTAGTTATATCAAACTGTATAATGAATTGAATTTTTGCTGCCATTTTGGAAAACCTCCGTAATTCCACCTTGCTATCACAAACTCTTATGGGAATCAAAAACAAGCTTTCAAATTTTATTACATTTATGTGTGTGTATCTGTGTGTGTGGTCACATGCCACAGCAGGCTGTCAAAGGGTGTGTGTGTGTGTATGTGTGTGTGTGTGTGTATTCACACGCCACAGCATGCTGTGAGGGTCAAAAGACAACCTATGGGAGTCAGTTCTCTCTCCCGGAGATTGTGGGTCCCGGAGATTGCACTTGGATTATCAGGCTTGCTGTCGAGTACCTCCACCTAGTGAGCCCTCTTATCCACCCACAACATCTTTACTACAACATGTAAGATCTAATAAAGACAAAAGAAAAGTTCTTTGTGTACTTATAGGAAATGGAGAGTTTGCAAAACCAGATTAGCTGCTGCGTTGCTTTTTGAAGCTGTGTGCTGAATGCAGCTCCAACACTGCTCTGTCTACAGCCACTGAGCGTTAGATTCCACTTCATGTAGCAGAGCATAGGACTGCACAGCACTCTACACACAACTGCAGGCATTGCAGTGGCCATTTCTAGCCCTTTCTCAGGGTTTACTTTTTAATGAAGGAAGACACTTTGTTATTTGGAATAAAAAGACAGTGGTGTCTGCCAATACTGACATACCGCTTTTCATTTGAAAAAAAAATGTTTAATGGGGGCTGGAAAATGGCTCCGTGTTTAAAAGCATTTGCTATACAACCATGAGAACCCAAGTTCAAATCTCAGCACCCACATAATGAACCAAGTGAGTCTCATGCAGGGCTATAACTCCAGGGCTGTTGGGTGTTGGAGCGTGGGCAGACTGGAGGATTACTTGGGTTTTCTGCTCAGAAGAACCCCTGCCACTTCTCTGCCTGGAGGAATAGGCAGAGAATGTTAGAGACTGATGCTGCCCTTGACCTTGAGGACACACAGGCATGCACGCTCACACATTCACATACAAACTGTTAATTTTAAGAGTTGCATAGGAGTTTTGTAGAACAGATATGTCGAGCATTACTGGAGCACACATTTTACATGACTAAAATGGTAACTTTTATGGTTTTTTTTTTAATCACAAAACCAAAAAGTTTTACATAGCATTTACATTTTCCCTTAAACGTTTATATTTTCCTCTTAAGATTTAACTTTGGTTCATAAGACTAAACATAGAACCATCCTGAGAAAGAAACTAGAAGGTGCAAGAATAGGTATCCTCAGCCTGAAGGATGCTTGAAGTGCATCTGTTGATCAGAGAGTGCATGTGTGTGCACGCGCATGCGTGACCCTGAATATGTATTACTTAATCCCACCTACATAAGCACAGGAAAAAGCCACGGTGCACATATTCCAGAATGTGACCAGTAACTATAAAGAGTAGGATACAAGTTTCTTGGTCTTTTAAAAATGACAGAATAATTCAGACCTCCTATTCTACGGGCCGGCTCATCTCACTGAATAGTATGAACCATGGTAACTTGAGTGACCAAGGAAATGAGTTGTTGTTTTCAGGAAACCTGTGGATAGGTTAGTGTGATTCTGGGCCTGGTGTAGAAAGAATACATTCCCTGAGGCTAGTCACATCTGAGTTAAATTCTCTGAAGGGCTTGTGACTGACTTTAGGGAAAGGAATCTCATCCTAGAGATGTAACACAGTTTCTGCAGGGCTTTAGTACCCTGGCTTTGACAGGGAAATAGGTAACATTGTTTCTGTGAGCCAGGCCTGGTGGCACAGGCCTTTAGTCCTAGCAAGGAGGCAGACCTCTGAGTTCCAGGTCAGCCCGATCTGCTTAGAGTTCCAGGCCAGCTAGAGCCTCATAGCAGACCGTGTCAGGGGTGGGCAGAGGCAGATTGTATGTCTAGCATAAATACCTGGCATTCACTTGGAGGTCATTGACCTATCATCAATGGAGTGTATACTTAAGGAGCCACGGTGAACCAGCTCTATGAGAGCATTTTCTCAAGGGTGTGGGGAAGGAGCACTCGGAGCTTTTGGTGTCTGTCTTACAGAGAGAGAGCTCTGCAGGGAGGGGAGTATTGTGTCTCACCTAAAACACTCACAGAAACAGAAACAGTACTCAGGTCTTCAGATACACTGGTATCTATTGTATAACTTAGATGTGTAACCGAAGGCAGGCTGCCTGACAGGTTAGAGAAGTAGACAACAGGAAAGATTGGTCTCCAGTTGCACAGAGAAAATGATTCATCTGGAAACCACTTTCCAGCCTTTGTCAGCTTTTATATTATGTTCCTATTTTACATTGAATGGGTTATCTGATTTTAAGATGTTAATATTTTTCTTGATCATTTGTAGGTTTTTAGAACGACTGTTTGAACGACATATAAAACAAAATATACATCATTTGGAGGAGGTTTGTCTTTCTTTAGAATTTTATGTTTTTGTAAAACATTGCATAGACCATAAAAGAGCTCATTTAAAATAGGTACTTTCTCCTGGGTGCTTTTTGTGAGGGGAAGGGGCGCAGGGGCTGTGGAAGTGTTAATCCTCTGAGACTATCAGCACTGCACACAGACATGGTTTAGTTTATTAACTTAGCTAGTATAATGATCCTCATAATTGCATATTCCTTTCCATAATCCTAGGGGAAAATGCGCTACCTGCTACATGGCCTGAAGGTTGACTTAGGCTGCATATCTGAGGAAGAGCCAGCAAAGCAGAGCGATTTCAGAATGTTGAATCAACTTGATTTTCAAAAGGCTCTGATTTCAAAACCAAATGAAGGTACCAGTAATGATGATTCAGTAATTGACCAAGAGCGTCAGCAGTTCCAGGAGGCTCTGGACATGCTGTCATCTATGCCGCAGGATGAAAACAAGCTGTTCTCTTTACCGGGTGAATTCCTAATACCTGTCCGTAAATTCAAGGATTCCGAAAATGTTATAGTTCAACAGGTCAACGATGAGACAGATCTTAAGGCCTCAGCCTTGGATGAAAACAATCCAAGTATTTCTGACAGGTTAATAGACCAGGACACCTCTGTGGATGTCATTGAAGGTGACAGTGACTCTGAAAGTGTTGAGACTTCCAGGGAATTATGTTGTCTTGGCACAGTACTGTCCCCATCTGTTCAGTTCCCTAGCATCAAAGATGGCAGTAATCATGACAAGCAATTACCGACTCTAAAAATCATGGAAATGGGCATTGAAGACTAAGCTTTGGATCTTCACTAATAAATACTCCATGTGGCCAGTAACTCAATATTACTTTTCTTGTTTTCCTTTTTTACATATTAAGATTTCTGTATTTTCAATGCTGTATAATAAATTACCATAAATTTAGCATCTTGAAACACCACATATTTATTATTAATCCTATTGTCTGTGGTTTAAGAAACACAGGAGTGATGTGTGCTCTACTCCGGGGCTCAAAAGCTACAATCTAGGGCTGTGATCTCATTGGGAGGCTTGGCTGAGGGATTCTGCTTCCATGCTCAGTTGGCAGAATTCTTTTCCTTGCACCATAGATCTGAGGCTTCATTTGGTTTCCCTGGCTGGTGGGCAGATGACTGCTTGCCATCCCTGCCACATTCACACTCCTTAAGCAGGCCACAGCCTGGCTGCTTGTCTGTGAGGTGGAGGAGACTGCTAGCAAGATGGGTCATTCGCCAGCACTTCTTTTTTTAGCTCTTGATTAGAAACAGGCAAGACATGGGTCTCTTGCATACTTAAGGGGTAAGAGGATGGCACACAAGGGTGCAGATGCCGGAGGGTGGGAACCACTGGGTTACCTGGGGGTCTTTGACCACCACTTCTAAAGTTGCTTTTTAGGGGAACGTGTTTGCCAACATAGTGGCCTCATCATCATTGGGAAATAGTTTATAATCTGGGATGGTCTTAAAGCATTGCATCTTATAATATATGGAGGCTGGAGGATTGAGAGGATCTGCCCTTTGGCATGCCAGGCCATTTTTATGCTTTAACTCTAAATCCAGTTTTTTGTCTTTGGAGCCTTAACCCATTCTAATGTTTATACCTTTTAGGACATTTTAATATTCTTTAGTTTCTCTTTAAATTTTGTTTTAAAAGATGAGGTAATATAACGAGGGATGGCCTACACTTAGCTGTGGATGTAAGGATGAGCATGGAGGATGCATTAAAGATGCCGGTGTGGGAGTTCGAATGTAAGTTCCTAGGGGGTGACACTATTAGGAGGTTTGCCTTTATTGGAGTAGGTATGGCCTTGTTGGAGGAGCTAAGTATCTGTAGGGGTGGGTTCAAGATACCCAGTGTTCCAGACCACTTCTTGTTGCCTGCAAGATGTCGAACTCTCTGCTACTTCTCCAGCACCATGTCTGCCTGCACACTGCCATGTCCCACTGTGATAATGGACGGAATCTGTGAACTATCAGTGAGCCACCCTAATTAAATATTTTCCTATAGAAGAGTTGGTCATGGTGTCTCTTCACAGCAATAGAAAGCCTCACTAAGACAACTGGCTTAAGGAAGTGGCAGTAGTAGGTCTTCCTCTAGGTTCTATGGCCATGGGTAGTTGGCTAGATTTACATTACCAGGTGCGACTTACCTCCTGTTGAGTGGGCCTTAAGTTCAGTTACACAGCTTGGTTACCTCCAAGATGTAAGTGCTGACCCACAGGTTCCTTTGCACTGCCCCCCCAACCCACCCCACTTCATGTCAACTTCCCATATCCCTGAGGTATTAATATGAGATTTTGGGAATAATCACTAAAGGCTATAGTTGAATAGTAATGTATTTGTGTGTCCCGTTGACAAGAGATCAATTGCTCTGGCCAGTTTTGTCATCTTGAAACAAACTAGTCATTTGGGAAGAAAGACCCTCAAGAGAAAATGCCACCACAAGATTGTGGGCAAGCCTGTGGGGCTAATGACTGACGTTAATGTGACTGCCCCACTGCGGGCCGTGTCACAATTGGGCAAAGTAGCCCTGAGTAGTATAAGAAGCAGGCTGACCAAGCCAGGAGGAACAAGCTAGTACGCATGCCTCCATGGCCTCTGCTTCACTGAATTCTGGTTCCTTCCCTGACTTCCCTCAGTGATGGAGTTGTAAACTGAAACGGCCCTCACACACACACACACACACACACACACACACACACACACAAATTCTAAGTACCATTACTGTACCTTTGGAAATGTCTTGCTGCTCTAGTCATTGTGGTTCATAGTCCAGATAGGACTGTTGATTGCTCTTCTTTCTTGGCAACTTTGTATGGCACCGTCTGGTACTCTGAAGCTTCTAGCTCAACCACAGTTTAGTTCCTCCAAGTCCTGAATCTAAAGCTTGTGGTCTCATCAGCAATGGGGACTTATATTCAAACTCTGGGAGAGGAGCAAGGGCAAGGGCAATGGCAATAGCCTATTTTGTTTGGGGGATGACCTGAACTCCCCTAACCAACTCAAAGGGATGTTTCCGAAAGTTTAACTCTTAAATTACATAATAACTATTTTAAGCGTGGTGGTTTGAATGAAAATGGCCTCATGGACTAATGTTTAATACTTGGTCCCCAGTTGGTGACTGTTTTGGAATGATTAGAAGGTGGCCTTGTTGAAGGTGAGCAGGCGAGCTTGAGGGTTTCAATAGGCTCAGTGCCATTCTGTGTGCCCCTCTTTCTCTGCCTACTTGTAGATCAAGATGTGAGCCCTCAGTTGCCCTTGCTACCATGCCTTTGCTCCATCATCACTGGCTGTTTTGTTACTTTTTGTTACCATGATGAAATCCTGTGACCAAGCAACTGTTTTGGGAAGAATGAGGAGGTATGGTCTTGTTGGAGGGACAGGCTTTGAGATTTTGAAGAGTGCTATTCCCCCATTCTCTCTCTCCACTTCCTGTTTGTGATGAAGATGTCAGTTCTCGGCCACTGCTCCAGCACCAATGCCTACCTGCTGCTGCTGTGCTCACTGTATGATAGACAGTCTAGCCCTTTGAGCTGTAAGCCCAATTAAATGTTTTTCCTTATAAGTCATCTTGGTCATGGTGTTTTGTCATGGTAATAGAAAAGTAACTGTAGTGCAATTTCTAATTGGTCTTAATAATAAAAACCCAGAGGCACACATTGGGGGGGGGGGAGCTGAAAGATCAGAGAAGCAGCCACCAGTTCTCATCTCTATATGAAATCCTCAGGCAAGCTTTATTTGTTAGATATCAAAATATCGCATGTAACAAATATAGTAAGAAATATTTGTGTTGTTCAATGTCCATTAATTTTAAGTGATCACTAATCTTAGACAACACTAACATGTGACGTGGGCTGTGGTAGTTTGAATAGGAATGGCCCCATAGACTCAAGTTTGAATGCTTGGTCATAGGAGTGACACTATTAGAAGGTGTGGCCTTGTTGGAGGAGGTGTGTCACTGTGGAGGCAGGCGTTGAGGCCTCTTAAACTCAAGCTGCACCCAGTGTGGCACCCAGTGTCTTTCTGCTACCTGCAGATCAAAATGTAGAACCCTCCCTTCCTTCTCCAACACCATGTCTGCCTGCATCCCACAATGCTTCTTGCCATGGCAATGATGGCTTTAATCTCTGAAACTGTAAGCCAGCCTCAATTAAATGTTTTTCTTTATAAGAGTTGCCATGCTGGGCAGTGGTGGTGCATGCCTTTAACCCCAGCACTTAGGAGGCAGAGGCAGGAGGATCTCTGTGAGGTTTGTTTAGAGTACAAATTTAAAGTACATATGCATACTCAAATGGATACTATTCATGTCTGACCACTGAAATAATGTACGTAGTCTACTTGCAGTTTAAAAACTAAGGCTGGTATGACGACTCAATGGGTAAAGGGATAGAAAACAAAACAGGCCCTGCTTCAATAAGGTGGAAGGAGAAAACTCCCTCCTGAAAGCCAACCTCTGATCTCCATACACCGTGGTGCACACAAACACAGCACACACATGCATGAGCACACACATTTTTAATATGATTTAAGATAGGGATCTGTTTTAATCAGCAATATACTGAAAACTGTTCACTAACTCCAGATTATTAAAAGTACTTTATTTTGTAAGCACACATCACCCATCTAAATGGTTTTGGAATCTGTTTGGAAAACTTGATTTCGCTACACACACAATGACTTCCAGATGGCCTCTAGACGGGCGCTGTTGACTTGGTAATGCTGCAGGCTGGTGCTACAAACCTTTCTTCCCTTCTCAACCCAGGGACCACACCAGGGAGGGTATGGTAGGTACGTCCAATGGAAAAGGTAGACGGAATGCTTGGCCAAATCACCCCTCACCCCACCTCACAGCCACTTTCTTAGGCAGCATTCACGCTTACTTCATGATCAGTTCCGTGAAACATTCCTATGAAACTCAAGCCAATCTGCCTTCCATTCTGAGTCCCCACTGCCTGGCAGAGCAGGGAGAACTCATTCTCTGATCTCACCACCAGGGGGCAGCAGGGACAACAGTCATTCTGTAAGTTTGCTGAGGATACAAGGTGGTGATTTGGTTGTTACTTCCTACCTTTCACAAGCCAGCCCCAACCAGGCCCTCACCTCACCCCAGTCCACCCCTCCCCTTGGCTCTGGGGACAAACTAAAAGAATTGGCACATGCACTTACTGCATCATTTGCAAAAGTAAATGTGACTACCTCATTCGCATGCAATAAGCTTTTAGAATGTGTTTATTGAAGAGCAGACAAATACACAGATGATGGATGCCACTTATGCAACCAGAGAAGCCTCGAATGTTCCCTGAAATCCACTATCCAACCCAAACATGCAGACTTTGGACTTTACCCTCCTTCTTCTACACATAATTATAGGTACTAGGACCAGAGCCCTTATCTGCAGGAATTTAAAAAGTTCCTTTAAGAGAGTTCCCTCAGCTGTCACTCAAAAAGGACCCATCTGAAGTTTTTTAATGTATTTCAAGTAAAAGATCATTTTAGTTTGTTTCATGTGCTCTTTTCTTACTAAATTTATATCCAAGAGAATTTCCTTTAAAGGCTGGTGCTAAAAAGACATGGTGCTAAAAACCTTAGTCCCACACTCAGGTGACAGAGGCAAGCAGAGGAAGAAGTTTTCAAGACCAGCCAGGCCTACACTATGGACTCCAGACCATGACAGGCTAAACAGTAATGTGTGTGCATGTGTGTGATATATATTGTTTTTAGTATATATGTATATGTATAAATTGTTTTTAGTATATATGTATACTAAACAATTTACTTCTATCCCTACACTGCAAAAAAGAGGAAAAGATTAAAATAGTAGCACGTTTCCCTGTTTGCATTTATCCACATAACTCTCCAGTAACACGCCTGTGCACTGCAGACCTTCAGCTTAATACATATGGTTATAGTTTGTCCATTTTCTACACTATTAATATATATTCCTATCTGAAATGAATTTAGCCATGCCATGATATCATATAGTCCTATATCACGACGCTGTCCTCCTTCCTCATCTGTGTTCCAAATAGACATTTCTCTTCCTGGAAGTTTTTTTTTAATGGTTTATTTTTATTTTATGTGCATTGTATTTTGTATGTGTGTGTGTGGGAGGGAGTCAGATGCCCTGGAACTCTGGGACTGAACCCAGATCTTCTGGAAGACCATCCAGTGTTCTTAACTGCTGAGCTAATTTCTCCAGCTCTCTTTTCTGGAAGTTTCTAAGGAACCACACCTGTTAATTAAATTCTAGGGGTTTGTGGATGCTTCACAGTAGGAGTTCCTGAAGAAAACAACTGGTCACAATTTAACATTTTAGTTTATACTCATCTTAAGATGAGTGCCCCCTAGGTTTAAAAACACAACTAGAAATTCCAACACAAGCCCCCAGGAAAATCTGGAATTTTCCCCAAGAAAGCTGGTGCCAGAAATACCAAAGTTAACTGGTAGAAACATTCATTGGTTTGCAACTGTTTGTGTGAAAATGTACATTTTGATATTTTTGATATGAAATCAATACCATCAAGGAACTAAAAGCCTCGGTGATACACTCTAATAAATCTGACAGACTCTTCATTCTGAATTCTCAATTCAGACTCTTCAGTAAACCTTTTAAGCCTTAATATTTGAAATGGACCTCAAGCCGGGCTGTGGTGGTGCACGCCTTTAATCCCAGCACTTGGGAGGCAGAGGCAGGCGGATCTCTGTGAGTTCGAGGCCAGTCTGGTCTACAAGAGCTAGTTCCAGGACAGGCTCCAAAACCACAGAGGAAACCCTGTCTCGAAAAACCTGTTGAATTAGGAGCGGCGGGGCTGCGTCCCCAACACCCCAGCCGCTTGGCTAGCTCATGCCCGAAATAACAACACACAAACTGTATTTAACTGCTTGGCCCATGAACTCTAGCCCTTACAGGCTAATTCTCGCACCTGGACTAGCCCATTTCTAGTAATGTTTGTAAGCACCCCAGGTGCGCTTACCAGGAAGATTCTAGCCTATGTCCATCTTCATCACGTGTGCCTCAGAGAGCAGAGCTATCGCGTCTACCCGGGAGAGCTGAGCATGGCGTCTCTAAGGGAGCAGAGCAGAGTCTGACCTCACTTCCTCTTCCGCCCAGAATTCTATTCTGTTTTCTCCTCCCATCTATGTTCAGGGCCAGCCAAGCAGTTTCTTTTATTGCTCAGCCAATGAAATCAACAGATTGATATGACACTCCCACATCAAAAACCAAAAAAAATAAAATAAAAAATGAAATAGACCTCAAAACTTACATTATTCCAAAATTCAATTATGTAGAGGGTTTTTTTACTCAGAAATTTTCTCATTTGCTAGCTGTAATTAAGTTTAAAATTAATTACATTTAATTACATCGTAGAAGCGATGTCAAGCATACAACATTTGAAGAGTGATAGGTTTACACAGTGTAATTTTGCCCTGAAGGAATTATCAAGGTATCGCAACACAAACACAAACAAGCCATATATTACTCTTTAATTAAAGTTTTGTTTTACAATATGTTCTTGTCGGTGGGATATTTCCAGATGTTTAAGTGTGATAGAAAAGCATCTTCAAACAATGTACCATTGGAAGAAAAAGTTTCAGAAAACGTTCTGTCCTTCATATGGTATGAAATGGAACATATACCACCCAAACCTCCAATCCCGTCCTGGGGCGCGCCTTCCACGTGAGTTTACTGGGTTTAGCTGGGCTGACACATGTCTGTCATGGAGGGTGAGGCTCACCACAGGGTCAAATCAGAATGATGGCAGAACATCATCATTTAGGAGCTAAACCTAGACCTGACATTCTAGAAGGTCTACACAGTGAACCAAATTCGGGGGGGGGGGGAGGCTCAGATAAAGGTGCCAGCTTGTCCTCCACTTCTCACACAAGCTTAGCCTGGGCCAAGGACAGCATTCTGCCCTTCGAACCTGACCTGGTTCTGACCAGCAGGATGTGCCCAAAGTGGATGGAAGAGGAGGACCAACTACTTAGAACTGATCCTGGGGTGAGGACAGGATTAAGGTGCTAAATTCAAGTACCCCCTGAACACCACAGCAATTTCTGGTGGCCCCATAAGTTTGGGCTGTGGTTTGGAGAAAGGAACTGCTCATTCTGAAGGAAGGAACTGTTTCCTTCCTTCAACCAAAAGAAAACCAAGCCTCTTCAAGGCTTCTTTAATGATAATATAAACCTGGACGTTTTTGTAGGGGGAAAAAGTTACAAGGAACCCAAATAAACAAAGCACATCACTGACAATGGCAGACCTTGACTTCCCTTGCGTAGCCCTCTGGGGCTCACCCCCAAGCTCCCAAGACCCCACTCTCCATCCCAGCGTGACTATAGATAATACTGCATTTCTGTACCGACCAAGCCATCCTGCGTGGCCACCACAGGTACTTCCTCTCGTCCTGGTCATCTTACATACTCATAGTCCTTCTCTTTGAAACAGTGTCCACTGTTGTTTCTAATATAAAGCCACATATATTAAACTCATTTTCAACAAAAAAAAAGTGCTTAAAACCATCCAATGCAATTGTTCTTCATTTTCAACCAAGAAAATCAAACTCATTTATGCTTATTGATAATACTGAAAAAAATAGTGAATCTGATTCTTTGATTTTAAATAATGTGCCTTTATCCCCAACTTCACATTAACTGACTCAGTATTAGAACAACATGAGCTCTTATTTGGAAAATATAGAAGGTACAAATATATAGAACTTCTAGGATAAAAAACATTCTGAATATAAAAATGCTTTCTAGGTTTCAAAATAATACTTTTAGATTCTCTTTAGTTTTGGATTTGGTGAATAAACCACTTAGTTCCCTGTGGTTTTTGTTCTTAAACAAAAGCTAATAATGGTTTTAAATACAGTTACTCAAGATCCACTCAGTCTGGGTACTGCCCCACAGAAAAGTTCAGTTTCTAACTAAAAACCAAAACTATTTAGTCATAAAATTACATTATCAAAAACTAGCTTAAGATAGAAATCTGTGTGCCTTAATGATTGCCAGAACTGCCCAGTGCAGCTTCAGTAAGACAGAGAACCGTCTAGAAATACAGTCTCCAGAATGTGTGCAAGCGCTGAAAACTGGGCAGGCAAGGCCAGGGCACCACACCTGTCCCAAGTCCCACGCGCCTCCTCAGCCCTGTGCTTAGGGTGCTGCTTCAGCTCTTCCTGCCGCGCCTCCTGTTCGGGAGCTCCACATGGGACTCCTGGGGACAAACAGGAGCTGCACAAGCGCTTCTCTCTCTCTCTTCTCTTCCCTTCTTTCTTTTTTTAAGCTGTAAACACTTCACATGATTGGGTCCCCATATAAACACGTGGGAGCTTAAATGAGCCTGGAGCTTTTGAGGAACTGCATGAGAACTCTGTACACAAACGTGTACTGGCCGAGCGTCTGCACCAGCATCATTCTCTGCTGTCTCAGCATGTCCAGCACTCTGGGGATGTCCAGCACCTAGCGGAGAGAAACCGTGATGAGGAGAGCATTCTGAGGGGCAACAATACTGCCAGGCAGGCAGTCCCTGTCTACCAGAGCGCCTCCTGTGATCACCTGAGATCTGATCTGGATTAGCTCCAAAGGTCCATGTGGATTATTTCTTCAACAGTCCCTGGCTGTTGAAGTCAATTACCTCACCAGATTCTCAGATTCCACAAAAACACAGTATGCTAGGCACTGTCAGGACCTGATTCAATGTTTTCCACACAGGCCACTGGCCAGCACTAATTGTTAGATGTGTTGTGTTAATGGTGTCACAGGAAACCCTAGATAAAAGAATTAAACAGCCTTCCATATTATATGACATCTGGATCTTTACTATGACAGTTAGAGCCGGGAACCTCTAAGCCAGAGGCTTTTATAAACAACACTGAGCATCTATCTTGTGGTCACCATGTCCTAGGAAATGTGCTCAGAAAGATACTGGGCCTCTGTGCCCCTCTCCTTCCCAGCCACCAAGAATGTAGAACTTGGCGTAAGTCATCACCTCATTGTGCTCCAGACAGGCAATCATGATCTCTGACAAAATGACGACCCCAGTTCTTCCTACGCCAGCACTGCAGTGCACCAACAGTGGAGGGTTGGGGCTCTTGGGTTCGCTTGTACTGTTTGTATGACGTCGAACAGACTGGATCTCTTCAAGGTATGCTGTGAAAAGAATCAGTGAAATACAAAAGTACTCAGAGACAACGGCACATATAAAGTCAACAACCATCTCTTTATTCTCCCCAGTGAGAAGACTGCAGATAAAGAGCACTGGGCACCAAGGGACCAGAGCCAACTATGGTGACTGCAGGCAAGTCAGTGCCTCAGCACAAACGAGATGGAGGAGGTATGAGTTAGCTGTGGCATTCTACTTATGACAAGGCATCTCTTAAGAACGCCTTCTTGGGCTGGCAAAATGGCAGGGTGGGTGAGGACATTGACCAAGACTGATGACCCGAGTTCAATCCCCAAGAGCAACATGGTGGAAAGAGAGAACAAACGGACCTCCACACATGCGGTGTGGCACACACACACACACACACACACACACACCCCTATAAACCCATCTTCTGTTGAAACAAGTGCAAAGCTTCTATGAAACAACAGAGAGGGACTGTTGTAGAAACCTGAGACGAACCTAAGCTGCCCCAAAACAAAGACACTTACATAAAAATCCTTTGAGGTCTTCGGGACAGCCATGCTCGGGCCAGTCTGTGTACTGCAGATGCCAAACTGTCCTCTCCTGGCCTGTGAGGAGGTGCTTCATCTTCAAGCCTGTCGTGGCATAGCAGCCCGAGTCCGTGCGGAAGCGAGTTGTGATCTTAAACCTTCCGTAGGTGACGGTGTTGTGCCTTGAGCCAAGTCTTGGCCAGTACCTGAAGCTCTTCTCCCTGCCGCCCTCCTGTTAAAGACAGGCCCAGTCCAGCAGCAGCACGAGAGCCAGCCCGGGGCACTCCTCACTCAGGCCTTCACGCCGGCCGCCGCCTCACCCTGCTTTTCTCAGGTCAGCGCTCTGGGCGGTTAACATAAATGGTTCTTTGGAGACCCAGGAAAAAGCCCACCGAGAGGACTGCGCACTTACCTCCTCTGCTGTCACCATTGCGATGATTGTGATCCCCTGTTCCCACACCATCTGCCAAAAGTCCTGGCAGGTATTTTGTAACGGTCCCTGTGTGGCAATATAATCCCACTCAATTCCACTGACAGAGACCTAAAATCAGAGAAGGTTAAAAGCTTAGTGTGTGCATGGAATATATATACACGCACAGCCGTTGGTGTGTTCGTGGTAACACTAAACACTGACTGGGCTATTCAGCAGAGGATGGATACCTCTGGCTTCTTTATAAACATATATACCATGAGTTCATATGATATCCACGTGACTTGGAGCAATCTGCTCACCTCTCAATTTCAGTTTTATCTACAAAATGAAATAACTGCCGGTCCATAGGGTTGTGAGGACAGAGCAGATGTATACAATGTCTGGCTTGTTTGTAACAAGTACTAAGTAAATAGCTGCTCCCGCTGTGAGGCAAACAAAACACCACGGTGTCCCAAATCACAAACAATTTGTCACGATGAAATATTAAATATTCTTGGAAAAGTAAAATCAAAATCTAAGCTAATGCCAGATATCTTCTATTTAGAGTGGTCTCCACCCCAAACTGAGTCAGATCACACTCCACAAGGCCAAGTTTCCACTTAGGACTTAATGCTCCCCAACAAGGCTTTACAGCCCAGAAACCTGGGCTAAACTAGGTTCTACCGGTAACTGCCGACAACCATTTCTTTCTGAGTGCCCATTAAATGTTAAAGCCTGTGCCAAGCCCTGCTCCACACATCCTCCCTCTATGCTGCCAGGCCTCAGCACCAACTCTGGGCCCTCTCACTGGGCTCCCTTTCAGCAGTGGCCTGTGGGTGGGCACAGGACATCATAGCAGCTGGTTAAACAAATGGAAGTCTCACAGTTGGTGAGAGATCTAGGAGCTGACTCAATTTGCCCAATTCTGAAGTTCATATTCTTTCCATGACTCCTCAATCTGTAGCTGAAAATTTTGAAACACAACTACAAAAAAAAAATCATAATGTTATTCCATTTTTACCCATCTAGTCATAAAAGATGGGATGAGTTATTCCAAAGATATGTTTGGTTTCTAAATACACAATACCCATACAAAAAGCAAGGCAGTACATGCATTGATTCCTCAAAAACCATTAAGCATGCCTTCATTCCCACCACCTGGGAGGCAGAGGCTGTTCTCTGTGATTTTGAGGCCACCCTGAATAAACAGGCCAGTCAAGGGGACATAGCAAGACCCTGTGTCAAAAACCAAAACCAAATATAAATAAAAGCCGTTAAGCAGCACACACAGTGCCAAGTCTTTACAAATCCTTGGAGGTCAGACTGCTATCAAATATGACATGGAAGCTGAAGAAAAACCAGGCACAACTCAATCCCTGGAAGGGGCGTTCCCTTTCTAGAACAGAGAATCCAGCTAGTTGGCATGAGCCGAGTCTCTGTGCCATCGCCTCTCGCTGTAGCAAGTGGAACACCACCCAGTTGCCCAGTTGACAGCATCAGACTGTTCTGGGGAGTGCTTCTTTAAAGAACAGAGTGACACTAGGGATCACAAGGAGACGGGACGGATGGCATGCTCCTAAGCAACAGCTTGTGTGAGCGTCCTCCACAGTCCCAGACAGGGCTGGGTGCAGCTCATAGAGCACAAAGACCTGGGCTTGCCATGGCTGGGGAAAGGGAGGACATGAAAAGCAAAGTAGGCACATTCATTACATACAACGCACACAGTTATATGATGGGGTAAAACTAGTGATTCCGATACAGCAGCTCCCATGAGAACTGACAAGCCCCAAAAAGAGTCTTCAGATTTAGGACAAAGTTCTACTGGCACACAATGAAATGCCCCAAGTCCTGGCAATTATATGGGTATAGACTGGCTACCACATGGAGAGTGGACGTGATCTTGGCTGCGTCTGGATTCTCTAGCTTATAACATAATTGTCGCAATGACTCCAAATGGGATGTTTTCACAATACAGAACCCAGTGTAAACCTTAGGTTCCTCCAAGTCAGCCCTGGACTGCAGTGTTGTCTGCCCGGATGCTCTTCTCACCTTAATATGGGATGCGTTGATGTAGCCGGTGTTGTTCTCCTTGGTTGGTACCAGCTCTACTCTCGCGTCATCATAGGGAAGCACATCTTGGAATCGATTTCTTTCTGCATTTTCAGGCAGCCGGGCTGTTGAGCACTCCCCATCAACCAGCCGCTTTTTAAGAATCCTTTCATATTCGGTGAAGACCATTCCTTGCTCCAAGCGCTGTTCCAGAATCTTACACTAGGAGATAGGACATGTGTGAGGAGTGAGTCACATGTCACAGCTGAGTGGACTTTTGAGGTCCTGTCTGCTCCTTCAAGGTCTAGCATTTTCATTGTGACAGATTCTACATGAAACCAAACCAAAATTTTACAAGTCACAAAAAGTAGAAAAGGCAATGTTGTTGGCAAGACGTAGAGCGCAAAATTGAGTTTGAAAGTGAAATCCAGCCTAAGGCGGTTGGTTGGTCAAGCGTGAGGTCTAAACCTATGGTCAGCTTTGTGATCGCTAAGAAACAGAACTCTAGAACAGCCCAGATTTTGGGAGCAAATGCTCTGACTTATAACAGAAGTGTGTAAGACGCGGAGAGCAGAGGCAGGTGAGGGCCACCTGCAGATAGATGCAGCTAATGAGGAAATAAACACCTGTCTCATTTTAAAATAGTAAGGTCTCAATTCATATCTAATTTTGATTTAAAAACAAGATGATTTCCAATACAATGACACTTCTGCCTTCTCTTCTATGTATCCGTTTACACGTGCTCTTACTTTGAAGAACTAAAACAATCGAGGATCTTTAGAAACTAAAAACTCGATCAACATTGGAGCCTGAAATTACTTAAGACATTAAAGCCACACATTCGCTCCAGCTGTGACCCAGATAGCAAGAATTCCTAGCATTCATTTATGACTATTAAATTAGGCCAGAAAATTCACCAAGATTTCACAAGGGCACTTTGGAGTTGCCTTCACGGTCGCTCCACTGAAGCATTGAGCCCGGCACCCTGCACGCACTCACCCGTTCATCGTTCGTGGCTCTGGTGGACACTTCCTTCCCTTCATCAGGCAGAGGCAATCGGGACAGGGAGAGTCCATTGAGGGCAGCCAGCTTAAGGGGACCAATTTTTTTTGCATCTGCTCGAGTCTTTTTCATTCCCTGTAAGAAAATATTTACACACATATAGAGAATGTACCCAGATACAACCCTTTCAAAAGCGACGACGGCTGTGAGCGGAAGAGGAAGCACGGCAGTGCTCTCCGTGCTAGCACCCAAGGAGCGAGCCCTTCCCACACAACCGCCCAACTAGCTGCAGGGGAAGCCGTGCCTTTCAAGGCCAGAGCTCTGATAAGGCCTCCAGATAGAAGGCTTTGGCTCCAATTGGTTACAAGACTCTGTTGCAATGAAAGGTGAGGCTGTGGACAGGCAACATTCTTACAGAACTACCCAACTTTAAAACGTGAGAGCACAGCGAACAGAAAAACAAGATATCAGTGGGCTGTAACAACCTTTTTCTTTTCTTATTTTAAGACAGGGTCTCACAATGTAGCCTTGGCTGACCTGGAACCGTCTGTACATACCAGGCTAGCCTCAAACTCAGATATTCATCTACTGGTCTCTGCCTACTGAGTCCTCAGATAAAATGCATAGCAGCCTTTACTATTTTTAAAACAAACAAAAATTTAAATCATTCTGAAAAAGAGAAGGAAGGAAGGGAAAGAAAGAGAAAGAGAGAGAGAGAGAGAGAGAAAGAAAGAAAGAAAGAAAGAAAGAAAGAAAGAAAGAAAGAAAGACTGCTTTCACATATTCCACTCTACAGTCCTGAAGAACAATGCGACCTGGGCTGTCCCCAAAACGGTCACATTTCTAAATCATAAGCCCAGCTGCAGTCTCTAACAGCAATCCAGAGCGGAAGGGAGCATCAGTGGAACACTGTCCTAGCAAAACGGTGCTTCCCAAAGTTCTCACGCCTGGTCACATTCTTCTCTGTGGCAGATAAACCTGAGAAGTCTCCTCGAACATTCTGTAGAGTTACAAGTCCCAGTGTTCAAAGAAATGGTTTCCTCAGTTCTTAGAAGGAAACCAGCTTACTCCAGCTCTGTAAGCCTAAAAGTGCCGTGACACCAGGGCTGGAAGCACTGAGCAGAAACAAAGAGAAAAGCCATTTTGGTGGGGTAGGAAATGCTGTACTGTAATTGGAAAGTGTGTGTGGCCCTGGGCATATATGCCGAGGCGGCTAGAACGTGGCACCAGCTATCTCCTCTACTGTTCTATCCCTTCTCACTGAAGGCAATCTGACTGCCCAGAAACCTGCTGGGGTCTACCGACCTCCTCCACACAGTACTGGAACACAGTCTGACTGCCCAGAAACCTGCTGCCGGGGTCTACTGACCTCCTCCACACGGTGCTATGTCTTATAGCCTCTCCCCCCCCCCCGCCCCCGCAGTCTTGACTAGTTTTTGACATGGGGCTGGGGATTTGAACTCTGGTCCTCTTGACTAGACAGCAGGCATCTTACCCAGTGAGCCATCTCTCCAGCCTATAGAATATTTTTTAACTTCATAGTTCATATTGCTTATGAGCTTCCCACGTAATGCAATTCAGACTTAGAATGGGCAGAATCCTGGGTGTAACTAACTAACATCCTTCAGGTAAGTCACCTTTGCCCTACAGCCTTACCTGAGCAGAAATCTAGAAAGGGAGAGTGTGGGGGACGGGGACACACCACAGACTGACACCCCAGCTAAAATGTCCTGGATACAGTCTGCACAGAGCACAGCTGTGTGCTGCGGAGTTTAACAAGCAGCTCCCAAAGGGAAAGGTTCTTCCCTCCCTGGTCATTTCCATGGTGCAGACACTGTCACTGCCACGCCCCAACTGCCTAAGGAAGTCACCTGGCTCACAAGATCCCTAAAGCCGCATGGTATTGGCTGACTCAGTGCACTCTGCCCGAGATCCAGACGGCCCACACTGCCGAGCCAGATGACGGTGGTTCAGCACCAGCTGCCATTATCCCTTGCCAGGCCCATGGTTTTCAATGCCAAATCTGCAGGGCTTCTTAGGTAAGCACCACACTGCCCAGGCCTAAAGGATGCATGGAAGACCCAGTTTTTATGCAGATGGGTGAGCACCCAAACCAGTCTGCCTTAGCGATAACAATCTAATCCCTGGAGGTGGAAGCCTGGGTGGGGAACTCTGGACTGTCCCTTCTTGTCTGCTACTTTGCTACTTACTCTCTGGTCTTCTGGTTTTTTTTTTTTTTTTTTTTCCCCTCTCTTTTAACTTTAGCTCGCTTTAGTGCTGTCTGTTGACAGTGACAGGATCGTGTGATGTCACCATGAAGGGGTCAGAGGCTAACAGGGGGTTAGCCTACTCAACTCATGGGAAACTGGAAAACTAAACTCATGATATATTACAAACCAAGCTAATATTGACAAGCACTTGTGATGTTTAAAGTTGTATTTTAGTCTCCCAGGAACGCTAAGGTCGTCTCATTTACAAATGAGCAAACTGGGTCATGGAGAGACTAGATAGTTTGTTCAGGGTCACTACTGCCACTTTTATAAAAGAATCAGTGCAAAACAATAAAAAAAAAAAAAAAACAAGTCTTTCCTTAAAATCTGTTACACGGAAGCATTTGCTTCAGCAGGTAGACTTCCACGACTAACTGCAGTGAGACTCAATGCTGACAAATGCACAGATGACGGGCCCAGGCCGCTAAGAAAAGCCGAGGGATGATGCATGAAGGGTCTTGCCCACTGATGAACTACAATACCCAGCAGGGCCTATACTCAGACCCAGGCTGTTCACTGCTAGGGTCTATATACAGGATATATATACACCTCCACATATATCCTTGGGTAGGTAAAATCCCTGTGCAAAAAAGAGGCCAAAAGATGGTTCAACTATACAACTTCACTAGAAAGTCTTAAAATATAATGTGAGAAGAAAATTTGTATTTTAAGACAAGCAACTACATCAAAGCCCTCAGTGTAAGCTGAACCTGCCAGACCCCATCGAAATACACTAAACTTCTCCCACCTTGATTTATTAGTACATTTGTTGGACAATTACAGAAGATAATGGCAAGCTGTGTTACCTCGAGAGATCGGGGGGGGGGGGGCTAGAGGGTTTGGTCCCCTCAACTCTTGGGAAGTTAGAGAATTAAAGGGGACTGTCCACAATGCAAGCATCATTTGGAGTACTTGTGCTTCACATAAAAACAGTGGGCAGTTCTTACTGCATTGTCATAGAAGGCTCTATCCTGCCTGCTGGCCTGGGGACTCAAGCAGGGACTGTGGAAATCCCCACACTGTCCCTGCCCTAATGCTGCTCAGCCTGTTCCCTCTACCATGGTCCGCTTCAGCACTGGCCTTTGTATACTCAGGAATAAACAAAACTGAACTTACAATTCCATCCTTCAGCTGAGTAAAAGACTGTTAAATCTGAGCCCTTTCTTGGGGTGTTTTCTTGCATGTACTGATCTGTCATAAGCATTGTGATCCTCTGAGCTTCCCAGCCTGCCTGGAGGCCTGCGTCACTTCGAGGCCCTCACACACTAGGCCGGAAGCACAGTTGCAGAAGCTCCTCAATCTTTGGGTCATCCTAACAGTATGAGTCAAATGGATGCACTCTTCCCTTTGACTCGGTTCCAGTGCAGGTCACGGGTCAAGGAGTGAGGGCCATACAAGCTGCACCCTGAGCAATGCAGCATGGTGAGTGGACGCACCGCCAAACAGGACCACAAGGCTAAGTCAGAGGACGAGAAGTCAAAAGTGACTCAGTGCAGAGTAGCCAGGCTTGACAGGCAGGTTCTACTCAGTAAAATGCTACATAGAGCGGACCCAGACCCAGAACAGTGGGGGAAACGGGCAGGTAGAGAGAAAAGTAAGCTGAAAGTTCCAGTGGGTCACTCTCTAGTTGTATGACCTTGCAAAAGCTACTTGGTATTTCTGAGTCAGCGTCTTCATTTGTGAAAGACGACCAACAATGGCTCATTATAAACTGGGCACAGCAAATATGAAATCTCCACGCGTAGTAAACGTTCTGAAAAAGACAGCTACAGAAAACAGCTCTGGCTCCTACATTTTGTTTTAAACCCATAGGAAGTGCTTCCCCGTGCTTATTAGAGGAGTAGCAAACAGCCAGCGTGTCTACAGGGCCTTCTGTTGAATGCCCGGTTTGCTCTCTCGTTCTTGTAAAGAGATGGAGTCATTCTCCAGCCCACAGAGGCCATGGCCAAGACAGTCACACTGGATCCAGTCTTGAACCCTAACAACTACATAAAGACTTAGGGACACAGCCTCGGACACCTCTCCCAAGACGTGACTTGGACAAACAGAACGCAGTTCTGGGATGCCTTGTCACCTCTGATGTGGGAGTGATTTCTTATTAATAAAGAAACTGCCTAGGCCCATTTGATAGGCCAACCCTTAGGTAGGCGGAGAAAACAGAAGAGCATGCTGGGAGAAAGAAGCTGAGTCAAGGAGTCGCCATGATTCTCCCACTCCAGACAGATGCAGGTTAAGATCTTTCCTGGTAAGCGCACCTCGTGGAGCTACACAGATTATTAGAAATGGGTTAGGTCAATATGTAAGAGCTAGCCAATAAGAGGCTACAGATAACGGGCCAGGCAGTGTTTAAAAGAATATAGTTTCCGTGTAATTATTTCGGGCATAAGCTAGCCATGCGGGCGGCCGGGTGTCGGGGACGCAGCCCTGCCGCTCTTATCACTACAGAGTAGCACCCAACGTGCTAATGAACTCCACGTAAACCCTGAGAGGACTTAAAAAGGACACAGAGAGAATTTAAGACAGCATTTTGCTGTTTGTGGGTTGCGTACCACAAAGAAATTGTCCTGACTCAGCAGCAGAAAAAATTGGCTGTTTTAAAATGCCAGCTTCCTGGGCTGTGCCGCCATTGTGATCTCTGTCTGGCTCCTGCGGGAGACAGAGCTTTTGAATGGATCATTTGGAGTAAAGTTCTATAGCTTACTTGATGGCAATGTGGACTGCTGTGTGCCTGGAACTGTGTGTGGCTCAGGGGCACCAAATGGCTCTGAGGCAGGAGCAGCTTGCTCAGCTCCGCCTGCTGACCTCAGGTGGGAGCTACTGTAATAACCGTAAAAACAGCGCAGTTAAGGTTTCGACTGGGCAGAACACAGGCAGTACTGTATTACCTGTACATGGTGCAACTTAAGTTTTTAAGAACTGCTTCACATTTTAAGAAATGCTCCTGGATAGTAAAAAAATGTTACAGATTCAAAATAAAACAGATTCAGACATAAAAGACCACACTGTTGGATGAATGTACGTAGGCTTGAGAGAGAGAGAAGAAAAAAAATATAGAGAATAAAACTTTAATAAAAATGTAATGGTTTAAAAAAAAAGGTAAAGTCTTTAAAGAGACAGAGTACAGATAGTTAAGAGATTAAAAGAAATAAAGAAAAATAAGCCACAAAAAATGAAAAATTCACAGAGAGTCTGGATTATGTACATTGTGTTTTCTTTAAAATTTTTGACTGTGAAGGAGCTAAGTACAGAGAGACATTTCATTACATGGGCTGCCAAGCTAAACCAAAATGGATATAAGGGTATTATGATTTCAAAATTTGGATCTAAGGTTATGATGCTTTGGGAAAGTCCTTCTTTTGTTTTTGCAGAGGATGAGACCCTATGGATTTCTTGTATTCCAATTTGGTATGATAGACCACGCCCTCCTGAAAGGTTACTGTGAACACCCTCAAAAAATTACTTCACTCAACTGCCAACTGAGATGACCTTGGCACACAGGTTATACCATAAAAGACCTAATTAACGACGCCCCTATTCAGCAGGAAGCAGTTTGGAGAGAAAAAACTGCGCCCATGTTCCCAAATATTGTTTATAAATGTTCTTTTACATTTAAAGGGGGATATGATATAGATATGAATAATTTGCATTGGTATGGATTTTAAGGTCAATTTTGTTATATGTATTTCTGATCTTGATTAAGGTATTGTGATTGTGTAGTTCATTTTAAAATGTAATGTATAATTAGAAAATATAGGTTGCTAATGGATAATCATCGATGATAAAAAGCTTGTAGTCATGTTAGTTAGATTTTCTAGATATATAGAGATATATTTCAGTTAGATAGACATTCTTCATATCTCTCAAAGATTGCAGAATATGGCATTTAAAATATTTTAATAACTTAGGACTTTTCATGACAATGAGACATGTCTGCTCCTGGCAGCACCAGCTACTTCAAGAGGAAGATGGACATCGAAGAGGATCCTTATGGAGTTTGATAGCTATTTGGGCAAGAAACTGCTCTTGCCTGGACTGTTGCATAAACTGGACACAGAGAACCTGCAGAAAGAGGACTGCTGAACTTGCCTAAAGGTGAGATGATCTTTCGGGGTTCCTGATTCATGAAAGAGTCTATGAGACATTCTGCAGGACACAGCAGATAGTGACTGAACTGTCTTTGAAAATTCCTGCTTCATGGAAATGTCTGCTGGATACTATGGGCCTGAAGGCTGAAGATGGATGCCCCAGTGGTACAGAGGAACTTTGGGTAAACTGTCCAGGCAGCGAGATGTCTCTGTCATTTCTAGAGTTTTGGACTTCCTGTTTACTTAGGTATTATTATATCCTTCTGGAGTCTTTGATGGAGTTGAAGAATGAATAGTTATAGTTATAGTTTTCCTTAGTTATGATAAGAGATAAAATAGATATAAATACTGTAACTGTAATTCTTACTTGATAACTGTTTTGTTATATGTAATTTTACTATGTTAAAATTAAAGCCTTTCTTTTTTGTTTAAACAGAAAAAGGGGAAATGATGTGGGAGTGATTTCTTATTAATAAAGAAACTGCCTAGGCCCATTTGATAGGCCAACCCTTAGGTAGGCGGAGAAAACAGAAAAGAATGCTGGGAGAAAGAAGCTGAGTCAGTGAGTCACCATGATGCTCCCACTCCAGACAGACGCAGGTTAAGATCTTTCCTGGTAAGCCAGCTCGTGGGCTAAACAGATTATTAGAAATGGGTTAGATTAATATGTAAGAGCTGGCCAATAAGAGGCTACAGATAACGGGCCAGGCAGTGTTTAAAAGAATACAGTTTCCGTGTAATTATTTCGGGCATACGCTAGCCATGTGGTGGCCGGGTGCCAGGGACGCAGCCCCGCCACTCTTATCACTACACACCTCACAGTATTTTAAGGGGGTAGGGGAAGGTGGTTAGCAAAGCAATCCTGGCTAGAGTAATGAACTGTCTTCTTCCTCAACGTTTTATTAAGACAGTTTGGGGAGTCTTCCCACCCTCTCCCATAGACCTCTTCTCAGCACCCAACTTACCTCTAGAAGCCCACTACCACCCTCACTAGCCCACAGCCTCTCCACAAGAACTCGCACATGCCCCAAATAAGGCAAAAATCAGGGCTGACAGTTACTGAGAAAAAGCCAATCACTGAGAACCCTTGGTACTGAGGGAAGAGGAGACAGAACAGAGATTCAGGGGCCTCTCGTCCACACCTGAGGCACCTCTGCTCCTGGACCAGCTTACCCCGAGTGGCGGAAGTCCTTCCACAGTGTTCTTCTTCCCAGAGAGGAGATCTGACACTGGCCTTTTCTTGAGAGAGTCCCTCCTAGCTCGGTACCTCCCCGAAGTCGTGAGGTCAGATTCAGACATGGAGGGGGTTAACAGCCCATCTCTTCGGGGCCGATGGGTCTCCACAACCAGGGGGACGGTGCTAATGGCTTTCACCCTCTTCTCAGGCTCCGTAAAATGGGATTTGGGCTCAAGAATATGCAGAGGGCCGGCAACTGGAGTCACCGAAGCACAGGGGTAGTTCAGCTGCTGCTCCTGGGAATAAGCACCAGTCAGGCGGGGCTCGGACAAGGCTGAGACGGCATGTGCTCTGCTGCTGTCCTCGTCCAGGTCCTCCTCCTCCTCACTGCTGTGTATCAGCATGGTGGCATCAGAAAGGGACTTCTTGTGGCTATATCTGCCACCTTCCTGCTCTTCGCTCTCCTCTTGCTTTGTTCTATCAGAAAAGACACTGGACTGGGAGCCTGCTGAGCAAGTCCGCGGAGCCACGTCTGCGGCTGAGGCCGACATGGTCCTCTCCTTGAGCCTCAGGCCTTCAAAGCCGTGTGTGAGTCCCGCAATTTCAATACTGTTCCTCTTCTGTAGGTGGGCATGCCGGGCTGCTGTGAGGGGCTCGCTGACCTCCTGCAGGGAATGGGCCACGGGCAAGCTGTCCTCCTGGAAGGTCTGCACTGAGTGGTGGACACGCCTGGTGATAAGATCCGGATTGCTGCTGCTGATGTAGAGATGCCGGGACAGGTCTGGGGTGCTGTTGGCGGGCCTCGGGTACGGGTACGGTGGGGGTGGCCGGTACACCTGGGTTCTCATAATGTTTGGAGCTGGATAGTCCTGGGCCTGGAGCTGCACGTTTGTCAGCTCGGGCACACTGACGGCACCCACCACAGGCCGCCTCTCAGCAGGGTAGGGATACGGAGACTGACTGTGGAAACTGTAGTTCAGATTAAATGGGTAGTGGGCCGACTGGGGAGAGGTAAGGTGTGCGTGCTCCCGGATCTCAGGCTGGCTGTAGACCAGGGCATCGGGCCTGCTGTATGCGTAGGAACTGCCAATGTTGAGGTTCCGCAGCGAGTGGCTGTGCCTGTCTGCATGCACCAGGCCTCTGTTGAGCTGCTTCATCACAGTCTCGTAGTCGGGGGTTGGGCGGTAAGAAGGGGGGATCAGGGCACTGTGCCGATGGGATGGGATGTAGTCGGGCCTCATGACGTCACTGCCAGTAATACTTGGGTTGGAGGACATAGGGGAGGGCTGCAAGTAGGGCTGAGGGGTATTTAAGGAGTTCGTACTGTGTGCACTATAGACACTGCCGTTGCGGATGCGACCGCTGAGGTCAATCTGGGTTCTGTCCAAACTTGTCTGGGAGTGACAATAGAATCCATTCTTGCTGGGCACAAAGATGTTATCTGAGGAAGGAAAAGGTTTTAAAAGATCTTTAAAATGTCTTAAATTGGACTCATTACTCCAGCCAAATACTGAGATAGCCCTGGAAGAACTTATAACTTCTCTTGCTAAAACGACACAGCTTCAGTGCACTAAGTGGCCCTGGGAGCTTCAACATCCTCGCCTATAGGATGGGGTAAGTCTGCCTGCTTAAATCTCACCTCTGGGATGAGGAGGTCTGCCGCTGAAAGTGAGGTACTTAGGATCTGACCAAGTCTAAGTCCAATATTTAAAGTATAAATCATATCACAAAAGAATCTTTCTTCTGAAAGTTAAAAAGATATGTTCTACTACAGACAAGAAGCAGGAATTGTGCAGCGCTGTGAAACTCAAAGAGACACTGTTGAAGCACTGAGCCATGGTGGATAGGCGCTGAGCTAGGGAAGGAACCAACAATCTGTGAACATTTCCTTAAGTAGAATTTTAGTTTGTTTGCATAGATTCTTATTTAATAATAAAAAAAACCCACTGTCAAAGGGCACCAGTACAGCAGGTACAGAGCTTCCCGCCCAACAGGGAGGTCACTGGTCATGTAACTCCACCAAAGGCCCAGAAGCCAAGAAGAACCAGGCTAAGGTAGCTGGAGTTGCTCCACCCAGCCACCAGTTGAGCAAGATGTGGATCCAGAGCTGCAGGCTCAGGCTACCAATCCTACAGTGCTGGCTGGGCTAGAAGAGGCCATCTTTCCTCCACCTGACCTGCACCTCAGCAGTCAGGGCCTGCAGAAAGCACTGTCTGGGTGATTCAGCGGCTCCATTGGGGTGCAATGTCTGAGAACTGCTGGGCACACTGTATTGGGCATGCAAGCAGCTCTGGGAAGGCCATTCGCATGCCTCTCCCCTGCTGCACTCAGCGCCTCATCCCAGGCTTCTCCATCTGCAGAAGACTTGGCTATTGCCAAATTTCTAGATGACTTTTTTGGTCACAGATTCCTTTTCTGGGTTGTCTAGACCAGTGTGACACCTACCGACCTAGTGTCCCTGCCTGCAGGCTCTCTAAGAGCACACAGGCCTATACCCCTTCATCCCTTGGTGCCAAACACATGCATGTGGCTAGGAACAGTAAGGAGGACGTGAACAGTAAGTTGAGAGTCAGTTTCTGAGGACCCCTCCTCCCATTTCCCCAGTGCCTTGACCTACAACATTACAGACAGAAAAGGCTCCTCCAGTCTGAGACCCCGATACAGGCTGACATGGAACACAGCCCACCTGCCAGGACACAACAGACAAAGATTCTGACCAAGAAGTAAAGCCACTGAGAGTTTTAAATGTTGTTAGCACAGCAGAATCAGACCATCCCGGCTGAACAGGAGCGTGTGGGCTGGAGGGTGCTTGGGATAAGGGTGTGTGGGTGACAGAGCAGAGGGGCAAAGCCAGGGTCCCCCAAATAGAACAAGCTAGAGAGGAGGAAACTACTGCAAGAAGCTGGATGAGAAGAATGGCAAGGGGAGGTGGAGGAGCACGGACATAGGCAGGGATGATCATGCAGATAGCGAGGTTAGCTGGAAGCTTTCTTCAGGTGAGTTAGGGATGCAATTGCTAGTGGAAGGAACAAAAGGATAAGGACCTTTGTGGAGCAGGGGGACGGGGAGGCAGGGGTACGGAAGATAGTGTGTGATGCTACAGGTTATGGGTATTTAGCCGAGTGGGTAAAATTACATGCATCTCGGAATCCACAGAACCAGAAGAGTGACTTCATCATAATAAAGAACCATAAAAACAAACAGACTTACAGGGTAAAGCAATGAGCTCCAATTTAATATTCAGTTTGCAGCAAGCCCTGCTAGTTGACACCAGTTCCTGAGAGACAACTATTGACTAGGAAGCCTCCATGCAGGGTGCCCACCTGTCTGACTGCAGGAAACAAGGCACGAGTGACCACGGGAATGATGTCAGGGTGGGAAATGAGCATCTGAGTCACTCTTAGAGAAACCCTTTGCAAAGGAGCTGCTGTGGAAGCCCCTCAGGAAAGAAAGACACCAGACAGGTCTTTGTGACACCACCTAATACTAACAGGAAGACAACCTAAGGGCGTGGAAAACCCAGAGAGGGAGTAAGGGGGAACCAATGGAGCATGGAGACATCACTCTCAGACCGAGTGCAGTAAAAAGGGGAAGATAAAATAACCCAAACCATTGTTTGAAGAAGAGAGGAGAAGAAAGAGCAGCAGGGTCATCATAGCCTGAAGCCGGAGGATGAGCAGCACAGAGACAGAAGGCAGAAGCCTTGTCCCCATGGTACAAGTACAGACAGGTATGTGCAAAGACAAGGGGACAGGAACAGGACAGGCCCAGGGGAGAGTGAGCTCGTCACCATTGTTCTGCTCCGCGGTTGCCTTCCTCCCTGTGGGGACGTCCTCAACACTGCATAGAAGATCTCTCCAGACCCCATGCCCTACAGAATGGGCAACGGACCCCACTTCCCAGCAGCCCCTTCTCCTGTGCCACAGCACTCAGCAGCCAGAGCAGCAGACGCAGTCATAGCTGGAACTGATGATAGGCAGCCATCCCGCTAGACCCGGAGCGCTCAGCTCAGTGCCCCCGGCATGATGGAGAAAATGGTAATGCATGTTCTCTTAGCAAAATAATCGGGATCAAATCATGAGCAAAGGCCTTATTTCCACTATTATATTCTAAGCCTCTGTGTACAGAACTCATCTGCACCCCCTTTCTGGCCCTCAGTGGTTAGAGGTTACAGACAAATGTCACACAGACGGTTGAGATTTGGCATGGAGGCGCTGCCGTACACACACAGCTGAAGTACCAAGTACTGCGTCAGGCAGGGATAAAACATTTCTGGGTATCTTCTGTAACAAACAAACAAAAACAGCATTGTTGGTTGCTCGATACGGTGGCACATGCCTGTAATCCATCACTTGGGAAACGAGGGCTGGAAAAATCACCAACGTAAGGGAAGCCTGGCCTAAAAGAGACTTCCAAGACAGGAGGCAGCTGCGGGAGTTGTCAGCAGCTACCCTGGGGCTCAGCCGAGCCACATACATTTCAGGAAGAACGTGAATACAACGGCTTCTTCTGGGCTCCCAGGATGGCTATAATCAGGACAGTTTGGGACACAGCTGCAATAAGAAACCATCCAGACTTCAAGACCTCTAGGTCTTCACAGAGTTACTCACAGACACAGCTGTGCACGGCTTTGCAGACTCGGGGTACTTTACCTTGGGAAGAAGCAAATGGCTCTGTATAATGTCCATTATAATGCAGCTGGGGTGGGGGAGGCATCGCATAGGGCTGGGGTTTAGGCTAAGAAATGGAAAGTTGGACATAGAGTTAAAACACATCGCCCATGTCAAAGAGGTAAAGTCATTCTTTGCTGGACTCTTTCTCCTCACTAAAAAGACCTTCTGCAGGAGTTAAATGTATTATAAATGGAAAATCACCACAAAAATGGAGGAAGTCTTAACCTATCTGTCAGTTCCAACACCACCCACGTGGCAAAGTCAAGCCTGAGGCACTGATACCAGACAGCACAAGAAGTCTGCATCCAAAAAGTTATGAACAAGAAGGAATGGATACAAGCCTCCTTGTCTAAACTCATGAATAGAAAAAGCTTTTATGTACTACAAACCCTATAAGACAAAGTCATCAAGTAAATTAAATGCCTACTTAGGATCTAACTGGCTAACCAGTTAAAATTCATAATATTTGGTTGTATCTAATATTTGAACAAACATAATAATACTAAGGTGAACTTACGGAAGTTACCATATCATTGGATAAAAATTATCAAACATCAACACACATTTGTGATTCAAACTCAACATACTGCCCAAAGCATGTTTTAATTAAAGAGAGTGGTATCGCTAAGAGAGAAGAGGTGATCAAGTTCCTTCTCTTACCAGAGACATCCTGGAAGATGAGCCCCTCCTGACTGAGTTCAGTGTGGCAGCCTGAGTTTGCCTGTGGGAGAAGACAGCTGTGAGCCCAGAACACTCTTCCTACAATACAACAATAAACCAGATCTAGGGAGGAAGCCGGTGTGGTGGCTCCCACCTGCAGCTGCAGCATGCAGGGGGCCTAAGGTGTGCTGAGGTTCAGTGTGGTGGCTCCCACCTGCAGCTGCAGCATGCAAGGGGCTAAGGTGTGCTGAGGTTTGAGCCCTGCTGTGAGTGAGGTCGGTCTGGTGGTGCCTGAATTACAGGTTGTTAGGATACAGAGGAAGACACTGTCACAAAACAGCAATAACCAAGAGATACAGACAAGTAAAAAAGATTCTAAGGCAAAAGACAAGGTCGAACGTGCCATAAATTACAGAAGAGAGTTGTCACTTCCTAATGTAGGACTTCACAGCTTCCCCAGAACAAAAGGACACACTTCTTTTTGAAAACACACACACACACCTATTTCTTTGCATTTGTTTTACTGAAGTGTGAGCGGGTATGGCATAAACACGTGCACTAGATTCTTGCCAATGTTAGTAATGCCCATAATTTTGTCAAGGATTCTTAATTTACCAAGAGCATGTGTGATGCACAAGTGATTAACACATCCCGTGACAGTGACTGGCGCTCTAAGGACCATTACTAAAGCTCTGTCATCACAAAATAACAAATAAACGTACTGACTCAGGGAACGTGCATTAAGAAGCCTCTTTTATTCTAAACTAGCATTATTCTTAGCACTCTGATAATGTCTGTATTACACTCGGAATATTTGCTTATTTTTACAGGGCCTTTAAAATAAAGAAAACTATTGGACATTAGGATTTCCCACTAATCAGTAATGCAGTAATCAGGCGATGACTATGCACTTATGAGGGGATTCCTTTAAACAACTCTCTTTCTTATGCCTGGAAAATATTCAGAGTGCTGGAGAATAATGCACATCTCCTTTCTTTCCCTCTCCTTTCTTAGCAGTGAACTTTAGGGCTTTATTGTGCAGCTGTATCTACTTCCTAATAGACTAATAGTCTATCTTTCCAATATCATGCCCAGTATTCAGCCTGCAGGGTGCTTGTGGGTTTTTCTAGAGTGCCCCTTAAATGTACACAAGACACTGATTTTTGATACTTTGAAACTTATGTTGCTTCTGGGTCCTCACCATGGTCCAGCCTAGGTTTAAAGAACTGTGTTCAGTCGACCAATGGCTCAGCATCTAGATGAACTGAGCTTTTAAGATCATTAAAGCTGGGTACAGTGGTGCATGCCTTTACTCCCAGCACTTGGGAAGCACAGGCATGCGGATTTTTGAATTGGAGGCCAGCCTGATCTGCAGAGCTATTTCCAGGACAGCCAAAGCTACAGAGAACCCTGTCTCAAAACATCTCCCCCCACACCAAAAAAAAAAAAAAAAAAAAAAAAAAAAAAAAAAAAAAGCATCATAAACTCCACAATGAGGAGAAGGAGCTGCTGATAGGACACTTATTAACAAACACCTAACCACATCTCCACTGCTGGCCAGCCTGGACAAGATTCCGTCTTCAGCATGCGAAGTACAGAATCCAAGGATGCAGGGCTTGAAAGCAGAGGCAGCCATTCTTACTAACTGGCATCTTGCTGGCAGCATCCAGTGGAGAGCAAAAGCAGAAGCCAGTTCTGCTGAAAACAAAGCAAAGGAGCACCAACCACATCCACCTGCCGAACCGTCTGACCTAGGCAACCCTGCTGCTCACTTGCTCGTTCTAAGCGTCTGCCTGCTTCCCAGTCGCTAGGGATGCTTTCTGTGCTGGTCAGCAATGCCGAGCGCGGAGGCGGCTAAGGCTCCTAGGTCAATATCTAGAACGTGTGCACTGGAGAAGATAACGAAAGGCTATCAGCTCAGTGAAATACATGATCTTGCTTGGCGAAACTGTGCAGCCTGCGTGGGTTATCTCATGGAATCTGAACGACACCACCAGGGAGGTCCCATCATCGGGTTTACAAATGAGGAAAGTGATACTTAGATTAAGTAGATCACTCCTGGTCACATGGCACACAAGTGACAGAACCAGCATCTGAACAGGCAGGTCTGCTGGATGCCTGAGGAGTTTCTGACAATCATCTTCCTGACTATGTCCTTAGCCCCAACTAACTCATGAGCTCCATGGAGGAAACGGACAAACCATGGCACAAGCAGTACCCAGCACACGCCTGCACACAAGCAGCCCTTGACTGTGTGGAACACAAGAATGGCACAGTGGGTGGGGACAGAAGTCTGTGTTCAGTGAACATTTCTCAGGTAAGATGTCTCAGTGGGTAAAAGCACACGCATGTAAACCTAGCAACCCGAGTTCAAGTCCTGGATCCTACAAGGAGTCAGGAGAGACCCAGCTTCCAGATGCACGCCCACGCACACTAAACTAGCCAAGTATTTGAGACTGTTAGCGTTGTCTCACCCGCTCTGTGAGCCTCTTCTCAGCTGGCCATTTGGTTATTTGATGCCAGCAGAGGGCAAGCTTTGATCACGTGTTAGAAGGTAGAACTACCTCAGGATGTTTGTCTCAGCGCCTTTCCTCCTGGCCCTCCTTAATAAGATGGTGAAAAACAAAACCTCCCATTTTAGGGTAGGCCAGAGGTCACATCCAGGCCACCATAAGGTCACTGACCTGGCTCTGGATCCCTACCCCGACTTGCCACTGTGGGCAAGCAGAGCTAATCCCCGGCAACAGGCAGTGTTGACGGGTAAGGGCTGGCCTCACTAGAGGTCACAGTGATCATCTACCCACGCATCTGCACAGAAAAAAGCTGCCTCACTCCACCTCCAGGAGAGCTCCCTGTCGCCAAGCCTTATTAGGGAGGGCAGGAGACCCATCCCACTACAGGGGCCTGCGACAGCCCTTCTATCTCCCTCCTAGAGCTAGCTTCTCTCCACCCTCCTCCTTCCAGGGTCTGATGGGCCCCAGTGAGTCCTCCTCAGTCTTCTGCAGGCTCAGGAAGCCAGAAGGAAAGGAGGGCCCTGCATCTTCTTCCAGACCCGTGAGCTAACAGTCAGACTGCTGACGGCCAAAGGAGGACACTGGCTGCTGCCATGTTTACCCACAGCCGTGAACTACAGGGCTAGCTCATCTTTCTGCACTAGCCACCAGCATGCGGCTGACTCTCCAGAGAGAGGCTCTTGGACCTGTCTCTCACTTGGTTTTGTAGCCTGGTGGGTACAACTCACACACTTTTGGGGAGGGGGAGAAGAAAGCCCCTAACCCAGGAAGTTTTGTGCCACCCTGCACATTTTTTCCTCATAGAACTGAGGAAGGCTGATTACTGCTAGCCCAGCTCTGGGGCTTGAGCTATTAGAAGAAGCCTTTTGATCTGACTGACATTATTATCTCATTTAGTTCCTAATATAGTCCTGAAGGAGAGTCAAGAGATGGTCTCATTATTAGTGTTTACATTTATAAAAACCAATGGGAGACTGTAAGCTACATTAAAAGATGACCCTGTTACCTCCAGTGCCTTGTCTGGGTGGGAAGAGAACTTCTGGATCCTGTCACTGTAAATATCATCTGGGCCAAGGTTAGATGAATCGCAGCCACCCCACACCACTGTACTACAGAAAAAAGCATAAAGGAGGGATCTGTAGAATAATCCTTTTGTACACTGTGAATATCCATTACTCTCACTAGTTAATAAAGACGCTGATTGGTCTATAGTAAGGCAGGATAAAGTTAGGAGGGATAGACCAAACCAAGGATACTGGGATGAAGAAGGGCAGTTGCTGGCAGACGCGGAGAGAGCAAGATGGCACGCCATACTGAGAAAAGATACAAAGCCACATGGCAAAGCACAGATAACAAATATGGGTTAATTTAAGTGTGAGAGTTAGCTAGTAACAAGCCTGAGCTATCAGCCGAGCACATACAATTAATATAAGCCTCTGTGTTAATCTGGGACTGGCAAATGGGATTGGGAAAGAAACATCCGCCAACAGAGGGATGTGGATACTGTAGGAGAAAGTGAATCCTTTCTATGGAAGCAGGCTCCATCTCCAAACCAAGGGCCAACTCGGACACACAACTCCAGTTTTGTTAACTACCCATCACCCCTCACTTACCCAGCTGGACCATGAGAACAAGGCCTACCAACACCTCAGAGTTATTATAATATTAGATGTCACTAGAACTGTGTTGACAGTCATCAAGAAATAGCTATAAAAATGGAAATTATTTTCAGCTTTCTTCCCCCATGGAAACATGAAATGTTAATAGTATAAGCTCCATTTGCTGACCCAGGAAACAAACATGTACAATGTAATATATTTGTTTTGCACAGAATGACTATATATAATTATACTAATAGTTCCTGGATAGGCAGAAATTAAAAACAAAATTTGGAAATTAGTCCTTCATACACAGAAGTTCTAAAGAGAATCAAATATTCTTCATAGAATAATGCATGCAGTTAATATTATCTTTGTGGCTTCACTCACATTTGGCGATATCCCAAAAATTAAATTTCTAAGACCTCAACAATTCCCACACATATTGCCTTTTCTCTTTGAATCTTAAAGTTATTAAATGATGAACTGACAAAATATGCTTTTAAAAGGACCTAGCCACAGGTCTACCAGAGGACATTGCATGTAATGGTTTATTAGTATGACTGTGGCTACTATTTTCAAGAAAAGAAACGATTTGAGGTGATGATGGCTTATTACAAATAGTCTTAAATTTATGAAAAGTTTCAAAATGAAAATATTATGTTCTAATAGATTTTGTTTATGATTTGGATATAATTATTATATGTAGAAATAATGTCACGAATGCTCATCTTCAGGGAGCCAGGGCAGCCAAGGGTGTTTCCGGATCCAGGACTCTTGGATCCCCTGACTGTAACACTCTCATACACAATTTCCAGAGAGCAGACAGCAGAAAAGGCAGCCATGCCACAAAGAATTGGTTGACTGTTTACATGGTAATGTTTGGAAATGGATACACGAAGGCAAGCACCACGTTTTCTCTCTTATGTAAGATTCCCTGCAGGGTGGGTGGGGGTGGGGTGAGAAAGTAAGAGGAGAAGCTGCCTGCAAGGACTCAGGTCAATAATCCCAGCACTTGGGAGGCTGAAGCAGGAGGACCTGGGCTACCACAGGGATGTAGATCGGGAAAGAAGGTGGAGCCGGACTGAGAGTACGCGGGAATGACTAGCAACAGGAGTCCTTACATGCACGTGTGGACACGTCGGAAAGAACTGACTTTCTACAATTCACATATATTAAAAGACAAATCTTTTCTCAAAATGCTGACCAGGACACTGATTAAAAACTATAAAGTATACAACTCCCAAGCCAGACAGGGTAGCTTTTTATCCTGGCACTCTGGAGGCAGAGACTAACAGATGGATCTTGGTAAATTTGAGGCCAGCCTGGTCTACACAGCAAGTTCCAGCCCAAGCCTCTACAGTAAGATCCCATCGCAATGAAACAACAATAAAAAGACCCATAATCTCAGACTGGGAATTATAGCTCAGTGGTAGAGTGCTCGCCTAGCATGGAGTAGACCTTGGGTTCAATTCCCAATGCCCCAAAGCAAAGGAGAGAAAAGGAACAAAAAAATTCCTTTCTTTTTAATTTCAAGGGTTATAATGGTTCTAATATTATGGAAACTGGGCACAGTAGACCATTCTCATAATCCAGGAGACTAAGGTAGGAAACTCCCAAAGTTCAAATTCAGCCTGGGTTACATAGCAAAACCCTGCCAAAAAAAAAGAAAAAAACTAGTTGAGAAAAACCTTAGAGGCATTTTATAGCTATAAGAAGATATCCCAATGCTAAAATGGAATGTAATTTCATAAAAGCAAAAGGACTGCGGTATCAGAAAAAGATATCATTTGATAAAATTTGCCATTCTGGACAATGCAAAGAAGTTTGAGATTAAAACTTGGAAATCAGGACCAACAAAATGGCTCAGCAGGTGGAAGGCGCTTGCTGCCAAGCTCAAAGAGCTAAATTCAATCCCTAGAACCCACATGGTGCAGAAAACTGACTCCCCAAGTTGTCCGCTGACTTCTACACGTGGCCCCCTGACACACATACAAAATAAATAAATAAATGCCATTTCCAAATGATTTCCCACAATTCCCAGGGCAGGAGATACTCACAGGTCACACTGGTTTAGTCTGTAAAATCTGTGCCGTGCAACACACAGTCTCCACACGTACTTGGCTGTTTCCATGTCTTCCTGGCAAAGGAACATGCGCAGAGTGGTAGAGAGGCACACAAAGGAAACACTTCTAACTGAACCGCCCGAGAGCAGACCTAACTGGTACGCATTGTGGCTACGCCATCTCCCAGCCACCATGACTTTCATTTCCCAACCCTGCATCTAACTATGAATGCGGTAAGAATTTAATTATGAAAGCAAAGTAATCTGTTCAAACAGTTTCTAATAATTTGGACTCTTAAAACATACTTGGTTTGAAAATGTCCTATTTTTATATAATATCAACTTTTATTCCCGAGAAACACTAGGACTTTTCAAACTCAACGCTTGCCTCGTGTCTTCATATTGCAAATTCCAGTTCAGCAGCACTGCACAGCTGCTCCCCAGCAATGGCGGCCGGGCTCGCTTTCCCCTGCTTTATCTTTATACTTAATTCAAAAGTCACTTGGATCCAGTAATATGCATACAAAGACTCATTTACTCAACAATATTTAATGTGCAGCCACTTTTTGCCAAGTGCCATTTTGTAAAATGTAAAGCGTAACAGTTTATGTTTATAGAACCCTAAGTTAGTGCCACACCCCCACCCCAGCACACAAACGGGAGCGCAGAGGCGCTGATGCCATTTAGATTCTCTGTGTTCACTCACAGTTTGAAACTGGACGGTCTCCTCTTTACTTGCCAGCTCCAGTGCAAAGAAGGACTTGTTGTGGGACATGTTAGCAATGTCGTACCACCTAGAGAGCAACGGAGGACAGGAAACACGCCGTGTTCGTTAAGGTTGGTGCGTGAATTAACACCAGTAACTCACTTTAGAAATAAAGTCGTTTTTCAGCTAGCACACATTTTCTAACTGAAACGACAACAGCTAGTTGCTAAAAGTAAAGGCATGTGTGGGAAATGAAGGACGAGGGTTTGGGAGACAAACCTCATGTGGTGCTTTGAGTGAGAAATATCCCCATAGGCTCGTGCATTGGAGCACCTGCTCCCCGCTTGGTGGTGCTGTTTAGGAGGTTATGAAACTTTCGGGAGATGGAGCCTTTCTGGAGGAAGGAAGTGTGGGAGGGGGGCTTTGAAAGTTTATAGACTTGTTCCACTTGTGTGTAACTTTGTGATCTCAGCTTCCTGCCTGGCCACCTTCCACCAAGCCTCCTCTGCCATTGTGGACTCTAACCCTTTGGAACTATAAGCCAAACTAAACATCCTTAAGTTGCTTTTGGTTATAGTATCTTATTTCAGCAACAGAAAACTAAGTGATAGACCTAATTTGCTTGATAAGCTTAACAATCAAACACCCTCATGTCAGCTTGCTGCTCAGGCCTCACTGTGTATTGACCAAACATTTTAAAGAGGAGGGAGGGAGGGAGGGAGGGAGGGAGGGAGAGGAGAGGATGGAAAGAAGGAAGGAAGTAGGGAGGAAGGGAGAGCAGGCGAGCAATGTGCCTGGGAGCCGTGCCTTACATACAAAAGCTGAGTTCTAGTCTAGCTATGCCTGTCAGTGGGTGACTTTGGACAAATCACTTGGCTTTTCTAAGCCTTCATTATCTCATATGAAAACTGGCAGTGATATCTGCTACCCTGAGTTATTATGAAGATGATGATGACATGAGCATCATGTTTCTGATAAATTGCACTCAATGAATGTTGGACACAAAGGAATCAAGAGACAAAAGTGGTAGATATGCCTCACTACTGGATGAAAACAATATAAACCTGTTTTTATTTCAATCAATTGAAAAGAGAGTAAAAGTGCAAATGTTTTTACAACATCCTAACACGGATTTTCTAAGATTACAGATTTTAAAGAATTATAAAGGTAAACAATATAACGTAACTTAGTATGTTTACAGTATAAATAGAGGCGGTCACATTGGTCCTGACCTGGAAGCTTCCTCCCTGCTGGCTAGCTTTCCTAGTACCTGCAAGGGGCTAGGGGAGGGGCGCCATCAACAGTCTTACCCAGCTGTGAATGCTGGCGCTACAATGACTGGCATGGCAAGATATGCCTACAAGCGCAAGAATGTTGGAAGTGTTCTAGAGTAACCAACCGTTTCCGGTTGAACTGAAGGCTAGATCCACATGGGCAAAGAGGAGAGAACCCCATAAGTTGGACTATGATCTGACAAGAACCCAGGGTTGGGGAGCTCACTGGTCAGAAGGGAAAATGAACCATTTTGCTAAAGGGTCAGAGAGTATCAAACTGGTATCTCTATCCCCATTGGTTAGTGGCACTCTCAGAATCCTTAGAGAAGTTTCTTGGTGCTGGGGACAGTGGCTGGTGGGTAGTTAGTTAACAAAAAAACTCAAACAAGTCAAATACAGAGAGCAAGTGTTTGTGGGGTGCTCAGCCACAAATGGAACATCACCTCCTCTCCCACCAAGGCTCAGGGAGCATCAGGAAAGACAGATTATAAAAGCCAAAGTTCAGGGAGGAATGGAGCGAAATGCTGTCTTCCAGACATGAGAGGGCTGCTGACATTTGTGAATTCACGGAAGCTGTGCTTAGCTGCACAAGAGCAAACCCAGCCCCACCCTTAGCCGAGGAGCTACTGACAGTAGAAGGCTTCGTGGTGAGGATGGCATCTCGTGGGCTGACCACGCTCCAGTGTATGGCCCCATAGCCATGAGCACATGGACTCCACGGGTTTCAGATATATTATGTATATGGACACAAAGACAGGGAATATATGTGAGAGGAGTTAGGGGAAAATATGGAGGGGTGAATATAATCCAAAAACATTGGATGGATATATGAAAACTCAAAGAATTACTAAAATATTACATGTCCAAAAAGATATGATTGGAACACAGACTCCTACGAAGTGATTTGAAGCCATCTGGAAATTGACTTCTCGGAAACTGAGCGCCATCTCAACACATCCTTACTGCTACATACACCCCGAGGGCTGCACCAATGAGCAGCTGCTCTTTTAACTGGGGGAATCAACTCTGCGAAAGCTGAGTTTTACTGAGATGCTGGCATGGTAGCGATTTTGTTACACACTACAGTCAAAAGAAAGCCCAAATTTTCCATAGCGAATAAACAGCCCCAGAAACCAGAACTCACACGAAAAACAAACACACAAACAACAAAACAACAACAAAAAACCTCCCCATCCAAAGCAGGAATGGCTTCTCTGTGGCAGCAGGGTCACACGGATTGTAAGCGGTCACTACCAGGCCATCACTATGAGCTCCTTTTCTGCACATTGGTTTTGAAGACAGTAACAAATCAATGAACAACTGTACTTGGGTAACATTTAACTCTAGGAAAAGAATATCTCCATTTTCTAATGAGAACTTAGGGGAGACTTGCCAGCAATAACTACCTTTAAGTATTTAAAACAAAACAGAAATACCTGAACACCACAGGAGGCCTTCCGTTCTTATGTTTCACAAAGATGCCGTCAAGACAAGCCCCGATGGATATGTCGCTTCCTTGGCTATCCTAAAAGGAGGAAAAAGGGAAGAAACACTTGGGAAATGGGCCTGTACGGACAAAAGTATCCACCATCATTGAACTTGTTTGTCACAGACCTGCAGGACAGCCAGTCTGAAAGGAAAGGTCAGAATGGTAAAAACTCATTACCCTGCTGGTAAGGATGGAGACAGGAGAAATTTGTTCTTTTTTAAAAATGCCTTTATTATTACGTTTACTTGTTCACTTTGTATATGGGTGCACACGTGCCACAGCGCACACAGAGAGGTCAGAGGACAACCTGTGGGAGTTGGTTTCCTCCTTCTACCGTGAGAATCCCAGAACCAACCTCAGGTCATCGGTTTTGGTGGCAAGTGCCTTAACCCTCTAAGCCAAGATTAGACTCTTAAGTACTCTATTTCTGGAGCCTACCAAAGCACAAATTAGAATATAGGATGGTGTTTTACTACAGATTTCTTGCCAAAAAAGCCCCCAGTCATGCTATTTCCTCAAGTAGCTAAGTGTCATACCCATCTGTTCCCCTGTTGCCCTCCTACCCATCCACCCTGGTTTTCTGTTTGTTTAAACAGAACCTCACTCCATTTCCTATTCTATTTTCAAATGACTCCCCTGTCTCAGCCACCAGAGCAGCTGGCAGTACGGACAGGCAAAGCCATGCCCAGCTTACCTTGGCAGGGTAGCTCTCCTCTCCATAGCCGTCCATTCTCTCTACTTCCTGCATATACAACATCTCAGCCTCAGGAGCTGTTAGCCCCCTGCAACCCAAAAGATGGTAGTGAGAGTAATCCCAAATCTAAAAATTTTAAACAATGCTTTTCTTAAAAGCTATACATCAATTTGGAACAGGGCATTATAAACATTTCAAGATATAAGCATCTGTGCCTGGGTATACTGATCCTCTAATACTTATCAAAAACTGGCTACCCATGAAGCACTGCGCTAAATGCAGAGGGCAAGTGTGTGTGTGTGTGTGTGTGTGTATGTGTGTGTGTATGTACGTATATATGTATATACATATATACATACACACACATAAGCTAATGCTTTAGGAAAGCAAGAGGAGAAGCAAGGGATGAAGCAGCTCCCAAGATATCTTCAAGGCAAATCCAGGAGTTTTTACCTAAAATAGCAAGCAGTTGCATACTTATCCTAACATATCAGGAAACACTTAGAATGCTGGTTTAAAAGCCGAATGATGGGGCTAGAGGAATGGTGCTGCGGTTAAGAGCACTGGCTGCTCTTCCAGAAAACCTGGGTTAGAGTCCCAGCCCCCACGTGGCAGTTCACAATCAGCCTTAACTCCAGTTTTAGATCTGATGCCCCCTTCTGACCTCCACAGGCCAACACGTGATACATGTACATACGTGCAGGCAAAACAACTCATACATCTAAATAAAATAAAATAAAATGTATTCAAAGACAAAATGACAAATGTAAGAAATAAGGGCAGGAAGAGGCCAGATGCAAATCCCCTTCAGCTCAGATGACTGGAGCAGCAGAAAGACGTGAGGAAGGAAGTGCACTTAAATCCATGGCCTCCCCTCCCCCGCCTCACTGCTGCCCCATTGCAAGTACCAAGGTGCCTCACACTGCAGCCATCCCAGACTCTGCATTTCTTTGACTATATTGTATTCCTCGCATTTCTGAACCTTTGTGCACGTAGATGCCTCTTAGCATATCCCTAGCATCCACACATGGGCCTGGCAATCACCAGTGTCCTCAGGGCTCAGCGTCTGACCATTCCTCCCGTCAGATTTTGGGTCTCCCAGTGCCGGCCCTCTGCCCCATGCAGTCCTAACACACTCTGCACACCTCCACTACACCCACTACCCACGCAGTGGGTTGTGCTGCCTAGCGTTAAGACTGCTGGGAACACATTCTTGGAAGGGAGAGAATTATTCTGTTTATCTTTAAGCCAAACCATCCAGCATTCTACCTCATAAGGACAGAAAGTATGTATGGGTTCCTAAGTCTTATTATTTAAATAAAAGTACAAATAAAATGACAAAAAGCAGGATAACACGTTCCCGAGGGATCAAGTGCACTAGGGGAAAAATGGTTCACGTAGACATAGAGGTAAAGGGTGGGATTAGCAATTTAAGAAGAGCAGGAAAATACCCATGAGCATATGGAAAGGAATGCAGGAAGAGATGAGAGAACGTAACTCTTTCGCAACCAGCAGAGTCAGAGAGAGACTACAGGCGAAGACCCCAGGTTACAACCAGATACATCTACTTTCAATCACTTCTACCAAACACCAGAGACCTGAGTCATTCTGAGTTTAGTTTCCTTCATTTCTAAAACGGAGGTAATAGTCTCCTTAAAGAATACTGGAGCCAGGTGGTGATGGTGCACACCTTTAATCCCAGCACTTGGGAGGCAGAGGCAGGCGGATCTCTGTGAGTTTGAGGCCAGCCTGGTCTACTGGAGCTATTGGAATATAACTTTATATAAAGTATTTGAAATGCTGTGTATTGGATTAGAGTAAGAGCTAGCATCTTAGGAGATTTTTACAGCCAACAGAGAGTCAGTCACCAGCAGAGACAAATACATGCGAGGATAGTCAGGGCAACATTCCTGAGGACTCCTCAGAGGACAGAAATACTGCTGTGAAAAGTATACAGGGGAGCAATGGTCACGATGATGCAAGTCTGTAATCCTAGCACTTGGGAGGCAGAGGCAGCAAGACAGCAAGCTTGACGTAACCTGGTTCTCAAAAATCTAAAAGTTAGAGGATGTAGCTCAATGGTAAAGTGTCTGCCTACCATGTAAGGCCCTGATTCAAACTCTAGCACCATTTACAGGAACAAAGGGAGGGAGGGAAGCAAGAAGGAAGAAAGGGAGGAAGGAAGGAAAGAAGGAAATAAGAAAGGAAGACAAAAAAAGAGCACCTGGAGGGCTAAATTGTATAAGACAAACTTCCATAACCATACACTAATTTATCACACTTTTAATATATGGGGCGATGAACTGGTACCCTAAGGACTGGCTGCTTTCAGAATGTCCCCCCATTCCCCCACCCCTGTTTCCTCATTGGTAAATGGATAATAATGGAAATGATGGGGATGCAGGTACTTAGAACAGCGAATGTCACTCTAACAGCAAACAAGCCGCAGGAAAGTTTAACACACAAAAGTATGTTTCAGACTCTAGCAGCCATCAACTGTGCTTTTTCCTGGTGTTACCTGTATTTCTGATGCAGCAAGGCCACTTTTTGGGTTGCTTCTTCCAGCACTTTTTCATCCTGTAGCCACCCCTGCAGGAAACACACAGCAGTAAGCACATGCATTCTTAAAGACTGAACCAGTCTTTCACTTCAGGCAAGCCTCTGAACAGTGCTAACATCGGGGGTCTTTGCAGTCTGTACAGTCATGATGCATCTAATGAATTACGTGGCTTCTGCTCAGAAGCCAAAAGATCTGCCCTGCCTCCCCAGCTCCTCCCAGGGGAAGTTTCAGCTGAGGTTTAAGGTTGGTAACATTTATCAGAGCTGACCCGCTCACTCTGAAGAACATTCCACCCTCCTCGGCTGTTTCAGTGAGATGTTCACATCAATTTCTTCAACAGTAGCTTCAGAAAGTACAAGGCAGGGTTTTCAACACTGATGGAAAGTCAGGTTCATTCCAACATTAACTTCATGATTCTCCAAAACTGAAAACAAATCCCTCTCCTTAGACACACAATTAAAGGAAGGATATCCTTAGGCACAGCAAAGAACACCCTTTTTTTTATTTTTCTTTTTGGGTTTGGTTTGGTTTTGGTTTTTTGACACAGGGGCTTACTATGTAGCCCTGGCCCCTGGCTGTCCTGGAACCCACTCTGTAGACCAGACTGGCCTTGAACTCTCAGAGATCCGCCTGCCTCTGCATCTCGAGTGCTGGGATTGAAAGCAAGTGCCACCATTGCCCGGCCTAACTACCCACTTCTGTTCCTGTGAATTTACAAAGACCCAGAAGACTGCAACAGGGAAAGACTGGAACATGAGCCATTGACAAAAGGAACTGACTTGGTAATGTTAGTCCTGTTTAAAACATCTACCATGTGGACATTCATGGGTTGCTAAGAGTATAATAGGAATAAGCCATGTATTAAAAGGCCCAATGTCAAAAGAAGTCTTACCACAGGGAGCAAGGCGAATTTCTGAAGAAAGTCTTGGGATTCATACTGATCAAAGTCACCAAAATCAGCTATGTGGAATGATAAACATACACATGTTGATTACATTTAATTTTTACAACAACACATTTGCACAACAAAAATGAATAAGTAAATGTGAATGACACACTTGTGCTTCAGAAGCCAAATCTGTGCAACAGATAACAGGGCAACTTTTCAGAGTATCTTTTAAAAGTCATTAGGTAGATTCGGGCATCTTGGCTTGGGAAAATGTCTATGAAGTGAGACAACGCCGCCCTGCATGTGACATGTGCTTCTGTGCAGGGAAGTGCCAGGAGGAAACCAAGTGGGGACAGGGAATGGAGCCCCGCGAATGCTCAGGTTTAGGCAGTATATAAGGAATGGCCCACCACGGTGTCAGATGTTTGTTCATCTCAAGATGACAGGTGTCTGTGCCTGCTAGCATCTGGAAGAATTTTATGTTTTCTTTCTTTTGTGTTTTGTTTTTGGACATGGTCCCACTGTGTAGCCTTGACTGGTCTGGAACTCTCTATGTACAAGAGACCGGCCTTCAGCTCTGTGCCACCCAGCCCAGCTTACTTTTTTTTTTTTTAATTAAATTCCAGGTCCATGGTTAAATGGCATTTACCAACTGAAATAATGCACCAGCAGAAATTTCTCTAGTGCACAGATATACACATAGATATATACACTAGGCATGCACAATGTTGAATTAATAAAAAAAATTTACAAAACACAAACTACTTCTATTATGAGTAATGATGTTCCAATCTGAAATATATTATTTGAGAAAAAAGGAAATGGGATGTACTTGAAACATAAACAAATGTAGTTTCATGAAACTCATTGATAGAAAGACTGTTCCTCCCAATGTTAGGATCAAAACAAGTCTTGGAGTGACATTAAAACTTAGCATGTTAAATTCTTTGATTTTTCTATACAAACATACACTTGACATGTAATAATTTTCCAGAATGTCTACAAGTCTCACATTTCATTGAAGTAATGCAAATTGTCTTCCTACATTAAAGCCCCACCTAATGGCATAATATTCCACTGATACATAAATCTAAACAGTTCGTACAGGAGATCAGTTACTCTCAGAGCCCTCCACAGTTGTTAACACACATCTTACTCTGACAGATTTACGCCTTCACGTGCATTGCTCACCTTGAACAGCTAAGCCAGCTAGCTGAATGGCTTGTTCTAAAGTACACGGAAGGTTTCCTTCCAGAATGTCTTTCTTCAGCTGCAGGTAATACTGATACCTATGTGAGAGGATGAGTGTATGAAATTATTGTCACTATAACTGGACCAAGACACAGTGCACTTTACCACAGGTTAGCAGAGGAACATAAACTGTCAAATAAAACTATAACCCTAGGTGTTTCAAAAAATGAAAAGAATGCCACTGACAATATAAGCACATCATTTATTCTGTTTAATGAGATGACTTTTTTTTTTTTACACTTGCTTTAATTATTTCAAAGCTAAAACCAGGGTCCAGGGATGTATCTCTGGGGTAAACATTTGCTTAGGACGTGTGAGACTAGCTTGATCTCCACAAGCCCCACACCCGTCAGAAAAAAGCAAGGTTAAAGTCATCTATAGGACAACTCACACCTGTCGTGAACCCTGTCAAACAGTCCTGTTTAATTCTTTATAGCTATCTGTTCTTTATTTAAAGTAAGGAAGGTGCACACTCAACGATCAATCTTTACCTATAAACCTCTCTTTGTAACTTGGCAATATGAAACTTTAGGTATTTAAAAACTTCACTAGCCGTTGAACACAAAACTTAAGGAAAATGATTCTTGATATTAAGTTTTTTAAAGTGTAAAGAGTAACTTCTAAAAGTCTTTCTTAGCATTCCATAACATAGGCCACTTCTGTCTCTCCCCTTAGTGCCAAGTGCACCTAGGTTTAAGTTCCAGCTCTCCAGTTGAGGACTCTGCATGGCTTTGGGTAAGTCACAGCTTAGACTCCCTTCCCGGGCCAAGCGTCCCCAAGCGGCCTGCAGAAAGCTGCTGACAACACTGCCAACATGTGCCAGCCCTCGGGCCCTCTCCTCATAAAGCGCCAGAGCGAAAATGTAATGCTTCCTTTTGCTCATAGGTCTGCCATTGCTCTACAGCGTTCTAGACATTGGAGATGGTTAGATTTGGTCCAGTGTCTCTGCCAGTGCCGTTTACGATACCATCTCAACCTGAGTCTCTCTAAGTTTGGTGCCTTTGAGCAATCCAAGCATAGCCCATATCTGAATTCTCCAGAATTCATATACAGTCTTATGTTACCCGTATAGCTAGGCTTTAAGCCTCTGTTCTTTGGTACCAAATGGCCTGACCGACACACCATCCATTCAAATAAAAAGAATTCAGACCCAGCCTTTCCCTTCTACCACCTAGCAGATATCACAGGTTTCCAAAGTCAGCGAATAGAATGCTAGGAACTCAGGCTCAGAAGGGGAAGCTGGGCTTTCTTCAAGGCTTTCAACTGCCAAGAGCTTGCATTGAAGGAGGTATATCTAGTAGCATGCTCCACATACCCCACTATCATTATTCTAAACTTTTCTATCTCTGTACATAAAAGCCTTGGAATGCAACATTCATAGGCCAAATTGAGCTTCCAATCCAACCTTTTCTTACCTTAGCTTTGGATGGGTTTCACTACAAGAGCCTATTCTTCCATATACACTGTAAACTGTTCACTGCTAGTTCAATATCCTTTTTGTAAATTCTCATGTGAAAATTCCCCGGTAAATGACATACCAGGAGAGTGTCACACTGACAAGCAAGCACGTTTCAGACTGGTGAGCAAGAGAAGCCTCTTCCCATTAAAATCTTTGCAGGCTGTAAAACTATCATTGTAAGTAACAAATAATGGCCTGGTGTGGTAACCAGTGGGGTCACACACTGCCAGTTCGTGAATGTGTAAAGCTTCAATCTAGCCAGTTATTATTCTTCATTATTCTCAAAATTTCCTATCTTTTGCAAACAGAAATCCCTGTAAGTTCCCATCATATGAGCAACACTTTTCTGCTGCCTTGTGGCCATGTTTTTCTGACAAGGCCTCACGTTCTGAAGACATGGTTCAGAATTTTGTTCTTTTTTTTTTTTTTTTTTTTGGTTTTTGGAGCCTGTCCTGGAACTCACTCTGTAGGCGAGGCTGCCCTTGATTTCACAGAGATCCGCCTGTCTCTGCCTCCCGAGTGCTGGAATTTGGGATTAAAAGTGTATGCCACCACTGCCCAGCATCTCTGCCTTTTTTCTTAAAATACTTTTGATTTTTTTTGGGGGGGGGGCGGTTAAATCTTTAGGGGGAAAAACCTATCTTTTTTCATTTTACATGCCAAATCCAGTCCCCACTTCCTCCCCTCCTCCCCTCCCTTCACCTCCCTTCCCCCTCCATCTACTCCTCAGAGAGGGTAAGGCACATTGCTTTGAGGCAGGACCAAGGCCCTTCACACTGTATCTAGGCTGAGCAAGGAATCCATCCAAAGAGAATGGGCTCTAAGAAGCCAGAACAAGCAGTAGGGATAAATCCTGTTCTCACGCCAGTGGCCCCCCAGTCTGCCCCAGCCATACAACTGTCACCCACATTCAGGGGGCCTAGTTTGGCCCTATGCTGGTTCCCTCGCTGTAAGGCCAGAGTTGGTGGGCTCCCATTAACTCAGGTAAACTGTTTCAGTGGGTGTCCCCATCATGGTCTTGACCTCTTTGCTTGTATTCTCCTCACTCCTCCCACTCTTAAGCAGGATAAACCTTCTTTCATCTCCAGGTATTATCTGAGGCTTCCTATTCTCCCTGCTTTCCACACGCCACACACCCCAACTAGAAAATTCCTTCTAAAGTCTACCAAGAAGCCCAATGTTTCCTTCTTTAGTCAAAGCTCCGCCCCGAGGAATCCTGAGCTTTAAATGAAATGTTTGTTATCTCGGGATACTCTGACTACTTCTGTACGTGAACTGCCAGTTCCACCAGGCTGTGAGTGAGCAACTCCTCCAGGTCACACTCAAATGACGACCTGACTACTCTTAGAACACAGAATAGCTTCAGTAAAGGTTTAAGTGACTTAAGCGGCCAGTTCATATTCTTCCTTGAGGCTTACACTTCTCTCTTCAATATTTATATTTCAGACCTGTTCACAGTCCATTCATGCCTAGACCTACTTCCTGACCTTGGTTTCCTAGTCTTCAGATAATTACCTGGCACATTCAAACAGCATTCCAGGAGCATGAGGCAGCAGCAATTCTTACATCTGCAGGGCATTATAGCTAGCAAATGGAGGGTAAAGCCCGAGAAAACAGGGACTTAAGATGCAGAAAGAAGATAAGACACATACACAAATAACCATAATAGGAGGCTGTGACACCAACCACAAATCCAAAGATAGCACAGGGTAAACAAAGTGCACCCCATCCTGGGGCATCCCAGAGCTTCACAGAGTCAGATGGATATGAGAAAGACACAGGACACAAAGATAAAAGGTACATGATGTTTAGGACACTGACATCGCCCAGCCTGGCTCCAAAGTAATCTTACTAAGTAGAGTTTAAAAGATAAAGCAGTGGTTAAGTTTTAGACTTCTCAGGCAAACTCAAGCTTTCACAGTTTGTATCCCCCTCCCCCTTTTTTTGTTTGATGTTTCAAGACAGGATTTCTCTGGGTAGTCCTGGCTGTCCTGGAACTTGCTCACTATGTAGACCAGGCTGGCTCCAACTCAGAGATCCGCCTGCCTCTTACCTCCTGAGTGCTGGGATTAAAGGCGTGCACCACCACTACCTGGCTATATTTTTTTATTTCTTAGATGCTGGAGGAGTAAACATGGACCCTGGGTACGCCAGGCAGGACCCTCCACGGGCACAGAGCTTCACGCAAAGCTTAAAAAAAAAATCAAAACTTTTCTTACCATTTTGTTTTGTCTTCATGAAACTTTACAAAAGAATTTATAAGAGCTGAGTTCCAGAGCTAACCTAAGTGTTCATCAGCAAGGAAAAGATAAAGAGAATACAGACACAAGGGAATGTTTTAACGCATAAGGAGGAATGAAGTTATGATATCTGAAGGAAAATGGGTACAACTGGAGTTGATCAGATCGGGGAATTAAGTCAATCTCCAAAAGACAAAAACTGCATGCTGTTTCTCTCATTTCTTAACAAGGCCATTTATTGTAAGCGAACATGGAAGCAGAAATGAAACTGTATATGGGGCACAAAGGGAAATGATGGGACAGGGAGGGACATGGAAGGAGCGTGCTCTGAGTGTAATACACCTTTGCATGGAAAGGACCCATGGAGCCCAGGAGGATGAAACAAAGCCAGACACTGAGTTCCCTGCACTGTCCTTTCCCTCTGCTTTTGCCCCTTTAAGTGAATTTACTGCTAGTATCCTCTGATCAAGTCTTCTGTCGCTGTGTCCCCTCTGTCCCCATGAACTCCCTCTACAGAGTACAGCCCTGGAGTCAGTTACAAGAGCCCGCCAGTTCCTTGAGGAGAGAACACAGAGTTTACACATTCTAAATCTCTCCTCTCCCACTTCCTTATTACAAGGAACCAGAAGCAGAACAGCGAAGACCTTAAAGAGGGTATCGTAGGAGTTCACCACCAGGGTGAGCTGACCGCCAGGGTGAGCCGACTGCCTTTCCTGTGCCTTTGGGCCTGGTGAACCATAATTCAGTCTGACACACCACATTCCAGAACCTCCCTAGGAATGCGGTGACTAAAGCTGCGGGCTGGAGGGCAAAGTCAGTCACGGGCTTTTATCTGAGGGCCTTTGACCTCAGCTCCACTCTTCCTACCTCACCGGACTACTTTCTCAACCCAGGCGGCAGGGAACTTCTCACCTGGTAATCTCCTGCTGCAGCTGGGAGACGGAAGGCACGTAAAACACCACTCCAAAGTAGACAGTGGGCTCCAGCGCGTGTTTATCCAACTGCTTCTTCAGGGGCTTCTCCAAATCCACCCAGCGACGCTGGTTCTGCTTGTTGTAGTACCAGAGGCTGAAGTAAGTGACCTGGAAGGAAGGAGGGAAGGTCACTGAAGCAGGCAGTCGTTCACAAAAAGATTCCAAAGATTTCCACTGCCAAAGACCAGGGACCAAGTGCAATAGCCAAGGCTTATAGAAGAAAAAAAAAAAAAAAAAAAGAGGGAATGACAAGCTCCATTTAGAGAATAGTATTCAGGAAATAGAGGCAGAAAAAAAAAAGATAATTGTATGTCATTTCTTGAACTAAAAACAAAAATGCTGATTTTTCCATTACCAAAACCCAAGCTACTATTATGAAAATATATTAACACGTGTGCATACTCATACGTGTGCAAGAAAATTTCCCTACTGGGTCATCCCAGCTGCCCTATGCTACTTAAAAAGCCTTAAGTAGCCCTCTACCCAGGATAACCCTAGACCATGGCACTGACCCAATTTTTCACTCTTCTGGGATTTGACTTCTATATAAATAAACCCGCTTCACGTAAATGTCAGACATTTAGCAACAGATGCAATGACAGCTCTACCTTGCCCCTCCAAGTGCCTTAGATCAAAATTCAAAGCAACCGAGATGTTTTAAATTCCCAGTTTAATGTGAAGAGTGCACTCTGAATTAAAGAGCAGAATGTGGGAGGAGATGCCCCCCACATGCCCTGTGTGCGGGTCTATTATTCCCTCTCAAACAAACACAGACCCCCACAGGGAAAAAACAAAACCACGGTGCAGTCAAGTGACCTAAGGGGGACTACTAACTAGGTTTGAAGTTCTGGACCACAGTCAGACTGGGGTCACGTGCCTGTGACCTCAGTACCCAGAAGGCTACCTACCGCATCCCAGCGCACACACACACAGAGTAAACTGGCATTCAGACTGCACTTGCTGTATAATAAGACTATTAGGATAAATCAGTAGCAGCCCTGGCCTGGTCAACCTGAACGGGTATGAAAACACTTCACAGAGGAAATGGAAGCCTCTAATCACTGCTAATATTGATCTCAAAATCAATTCTGCTACTCTAGACCCTAGAGCAACACTGTCACATAGAAGCTTGTGTAATGACGGACATGTGCCACATCTGTCCTGTCCGACAGCAGCTCCCGGCTACAGGTGGCAACCGGTGCCTCTGAGGAGCTGTGCTTCTTAGCAGTGCTCCGTTATGCTCTCGAATCAAAGAGCTGCAGAACCGTACTGGGTAGTTTAACTTCACAGCTCCAGTAAAACTTAAAAATAAAATAAATCTGGTTATTTTATTTGGCCTGCAATACTCATTAAAATAAAAATGAACTTTAAGCCAGGCATGGTATTGAATGCCTATATTTCCAGTATTTAGGAGACTCGGGCAAGAAGACTACTGTGAGTTTAAGACCATCCTGGTAGGATACACAGCGAAACCCACCTTAAAAAAAAATGAAATTAATTAATTAAAGTTAGACATGGCAGCTCAGACCTGGAAAGTGGAGGCAGGAGGATTGTGCCTAGGCTATAAAGCAAGGCCGAGCCTCAAAAAGAATTTGTGTGTGTGTGTGTGGTTTTCCAAAACAGGGTTTCTCTATGTAGCCCTGGCTGGCCTTGAACTCACAGATTGGCCTGCCTCTGCCTCCGCTGGGATTAAAGGCGTGCATTTTAATGGGCCAGAAAGATGGCTCAGCATCACTGGCTACTCTCGCAGAGGACGCAGATCGCTCACAACCATCTAAATTCCAGTTCCAGGGGATCCCATGCCCTCTTCTGACTTCTGAGAGCAGCAGGCAGATACACAGCACACATATGTGTATACAGGCAAAATATTCAAACACATAAAATAAATCTAAAACTTAAGAATTTTTAATTTCCATGGATATTCTCGACCCATCATTTTTACAAAGAAAAAATACCTTAATATTAGTCGGTCACTTTCTACTACAAGTGGAATGTTCTTATTGTTCCTTTATTTCTACAAATAGAATACTGTAGAAATTCACTAAGTTTGGTTGAATGAATAGTCTCTTATTCCTGTCACCCAAGAACAGCTTGATCATCATATATCTATCTGTATCCCAAGAACCATAGGCATAAGCCCAAAGTCAGTGACTCTCCACGCACTGCCCACAAGGCACCCTTGTCAGAACTACGTGGAGCTCCTGGTGCCCTAGAAAACTATCAAGTTCCTAGGTAATTCTTATGCCGCTGAAGGTGGGCAGCATTACAGCATACCACACTATCCGCCAGCATTATATAGGCAGTTTCCACAGCCTACGTTTACCTGCGCAGGTGATGCCTCTAGCCTAGCACTCCTGAAGATGAGGGAGGACACATTCGTCTAGGCTACAAAGTGAGCTCCAGTCCCACCTGCCACACACACACACACACACACACACACACGCATGCACACCTATGCTTGAAAAGTTGCAGGGGTATCAATTTCTTTTTATTCCATGAAGTAAATAAGGTGAAAAGTTCAGGTCCACTGCTGTTTTCTGTCACCCATGGATCACATTTCTGAGAAAGCAACTACTGTTCCTGCCCTTCTGCAATTTACAGAACGGACAAAACCCTGGCAGAATAGGAATGGCTTGATGCTTCTCTTCCAGGGTTCTAGGCTTGGTTTCCAGCAGGCAGACGCTAGCTGTGAACTGGAAGAAATCAGTCCGGCCTGTTCCCTTGAGCATAAGATAACTCAGAACTCCAGCGTGGGAGATGGGCGGGAAACCAAATGAGCGCATGATGCTGTGAAAAGGACATTAAAATACGTATTTGTCTTTAATTAAAATATGTATTTGTCTTTAATTAAAATATGTATTTGTCTCTAATTTTTGTAAATTTTGATTAAATTTATTTTTTAATATTTCATATAATATATTTTGGTCATACTCCTATTTGACTGTGTGGGCGGATCATGAAAATACACCCTCTTTTGGGGCAGGAGAGATGATCACCGGTTAAGAGCGCCGGCTGCTCTTTCACAGGGCCCAGGTTTCAGACCTGGCACCCACAGGGAGGCTCACAAGCATCTGTAACTCCAGTTCCAGGAGATCTGATGCCCTCTTCCGGTCTCCACAGGCACTGCACAAACATGGTGCACAGACATAAATGTAGGCAAAAAACATATATACATAAAATAATAAATTATTTTTTTAAATTAAGTATATCATCTCTTAGCCAGGCACATGCCTTTAATCCCAGCTGGCAAAGGCAGGTGGATCTCCTGAGCTCAAGGCCAGCCTGGTCTACACAGAAAGTTCCCAACTAGGGCTATGCAGTGAGACCTTGACTCAAAAGACCAATGCTTTACACACACACACCCCCAAAAAAAACATATCATCTCCTTTAACTAAAATTAAACGATCTTAAACTTGCTCTGGGTATATTACTTTTTCCTTTATATATATATATATATATATATATATATATCTGGACTTGGCTACTTCAAACACAAAGATTTAAATAACCAAATATAGTGGCCATACAACAATTCTAGCACAGGAAGCAATGGGATGTGGGTTCCAGGATGTGGACTACAAGTAAGCTTCAAGTTAACTTGGGCTACAGTGAGAACTTGCCTCAAAATAACAAAAGCAACAATAAAAAAAGAGGTAGAGAAATTTACAAAATTTCCAGAGACCAGCAAGGATAATAAAATGATAAGCTGTACCCCAACACAGCTATCCAGATGTTCCATTTCCTGGAGACAGAAGAATGGCTGGCTTTTTATCAAGCTTTATCTGTAGTTTCTTCATCTGCAGCAGATGTCTCCAAAGCCAAATAGACAAACATTTTCTACTCTTGTCCTTGTTTGTACCTACACTTATTTGTGAGCCTTCAGAAAACTTTGTCTGCCAGTAACAGAGAAGCTGTGTTTCCTCTGGGAAGCTCTGCCTCAGGGCAGTTAGGGAACAAACCCACCCTGAATTCACACTCCAGGACTGTCAACCAGCTCTTCAACAAGGGACTTCCCCAGCAAGCCCCAGCTCTCCACAGGGGCACTCTGCCTTCCTCAGAAAGGTGCAGAGAACCAGAAGAGTTCCGCTACTTATAATGGCCTTAATCACTGCTTTCCCTTCAGGGCTCCGCATTCCCCTACCCACCTTCCAGAACTTTCTTTCTTTCTTTCTTTCTTTCTTTCTTTCTTTCTTTCTTTCTTTTTTTTTTTTTTTTTTTTTTTTTTTTTAGTTTTTCGAGACAGGGTTTCTCTGTAGCTTTGGAGCCTGTCCTGGCACTAGCTCTTGTAGACCAGGNTTTTTTTTTTTTTTTAGTTTTTCGAGACAGGGTTTCTCTGTAGCTTTGGAGCCTGTCCTGGCACTAGCTCTTGTAGACCAGGCTGGCCTCGAACTTGATAAGGGTCTTCGCCTGATACGAAATTCTTCAGGTGACTCTTTCTGTCTGCTCTTGTGGAAAACACACCCTAACAGAAGCTTCTTAAACAATAACGCTTCTGGAATTCTCACATAAATCTTTTTACAGTGATTGTTAACCAGATTCCTTTTGTTTGAATATTTTTATTTTATTGGATTGTGTGGGTGCATACCAGTTGTGTGTCTTGTTACCACAGAGGTCAGAAGAGGATGTTTGATGCCTGGAACTGGAGTTAACAGATGGTTCTGAGCTGCATGTGGGTGCTGGGAATTGAACCCAGGTCCTCTGGAAAAGGTGCTCTTAATCGCTGAGACACCTCTCCAGCCCCTACGAAGCTTCTTCAGTGCCAGATACTTTACATTATCTTTCTTTTCTAGTTTTTCAAAACACACACACACACAATAACCTTCAAAAGTATTTGGTGACTTCCTCGTGCAGTTTATAAATTCTCACTACTGCTCTCCTTCATCTGTAGATCACTGCCTGCTGGGTAACTAGAGCAAAGACAAAGTTAAACAGGGCTTGGGGTCTCTTCAGACAACATGGCTGCCTCCCTCGTCACACAGTGAACAGAGGCGAGCTGCTCTGGGCAGGTCCACATCCGAACAGAATGCAAACCTCTTCCTAATTCCCTGGTCACTTCTTGTCTAATTATTTTAAGACTCTTTTTTATTGTGCTATTTTTAAAATAGACC